TTGCATTGCTTGCTTTAGTCTTGTTAGTATTGCTTTTCACTTCTGCATTTCATCTTTGTCCACTTAGGTTGTTAGAATCATCCTTCTTCATCATACATGGTTAAGCTTAGTTAGTTCCTTGCATCTCTTTTATTCTAGCTCCTAGATGGATTGATTAAACCTCTTCTATACTACATCTGATTAGAGAGGCATTGAATCTAGTGACCCAAAAGTCCTTCTTCAATTTGGCACCGTTGCCGTTCTAGGATTGCTTAGGTAATTGAGTTTGGGTTCTTTCTTAGACTTAATCATCTTTTACTTTACTAATCACTTTACCTTTCTTCCTCTGTTTTCTCAGGTACAATGGCTGATCAACTACATCATAGACATGCTCATCAAGCTCAGTTCAATGAAGATGAAGCACCACTTTAGAGGTTACATGGGCCAGTTCCTCAGATTGCTAGAAGAGCACAACACATAAGATCTCATGATGCTCCTTACCTTCATACTAGACGCATAAGTATACTTCCTCCACCATCTAAAGAGCATCACTTTGAGATTTAAAGAAGTTTGATTGCAATGGTACAAACCAACCGCTTTAATGGCACATCTATGGAGGATCCGCTTGATCACTTGGACGGCTTTGAGAGTCTTTGCAGTCTACATAAGATAAATGGCATCACAAAAGATGGTTTCAAACTAAGGTTATTTCCTTTCTCTCTTGGTGAATGTGCACATTTTTGGGAAAGATCATTGTCTTGTGGATCAATATATTCTTGGGATGATTGCAAAAGAGTGTTTCTTGCAAAGTTTTACTCTTCTACCAGGACAGCTACGCTAAGGCAGAACATCTCAGGGTTCAAACAATCACAAGATGAGCCATTCTGTTCAGCATGTGAAAGATTTCAAGGCTATACACTGCGCTGCCCTCATCATGACTTCTCAACAGAGTCATTGCTCAGCACACTTTACAGAGGAGTATTACCACGGTTCAAGATGATGCTAGGCACAGCCAGCAATGGACATTTTATGGGTACAAGTGTAGAAGACGGCTTGCAGCTCATTGAAAACCTTGCCAAGAGTAATGGCAACTATGTGGATGAATATGAAGTTACTTACAAGAAGAGTATTGAAGCTTCTCTTCACCAGACTCAGCAGGCTGTACTTGCTATGAATGCTAAGCTAGACATGTTGATTGAGAACTCTATGAATCAATCACCAAAGGCTGAGGAGAAGAAGTCAGCTCTTGATCATGCCTACAACTTAGAAGCTGAAGCATATTATGTGCAGCAACAACAACATGTTCCTCAAGAGCCTTACACGGACACAGGCTATGACAACTTTAATAGTTACAGCTCTCTAGTGAACACAAGGACAAAAGCTCCATTATACAATCAGCTTGGTGTTACCATTCAACAACACCACAGCTTTACACCTTCACATGAAGCACTTCAAGAGAGTATGTATGCAACCGAGTATGAGCCTCAACATCACGTAGCAGCACCACCAGTTCAGGATATACCTAGTCCTTCAACAGCACCACCATCTACGCCTGATACAACCACAACTAGACTGCTTGAGCAGTTACTTGCCGCTCACACACAAAGTACAATGGAGATGCAGGCCGCTCATCAAAAGGAGGTGCTTGCTAATCACAAGAACACAATGGAGATGCTTGCTAATCAAAAGAACCTACTGCAGGAGTTTGAGAAAGTTCGTGAAGAACTTGCTATGCTTAAAGCCAATCAAGTCTAATCTATTACAGCTCAACAACAATCGCCACCAGCAGTGCAGGCAATCACTACTAGGAGTAGTAAACAGCTACAAGGTCCTGTAGCACCAAAACATCTCCATGTGGACATTGAGAAGCAAAGTGGGGGGGGGGGGGGGAGGTGTTTCTTGAGACTCATGAAGAAGAGACTGAAGCTGAACCAAAGAATGAAAGGAAAGCTGAGGCAGAGCATGTGAGAAAATGAAAACAAGTGGCCGATGAAGCACAAAGAGAAGCCATACAGCCTACAAGGAAGAAACTTGTCTTTGTCCTTCCCTCTTACAAGCCACCACTTCCCTTTCCAGGAAAAATCAAGAAACAGTTAGTGGAGAAGTACATACAACTTTTTGAGAAGCAGATAGAATGTGAGGGGATAACCATGCCCATGCTTGATGCCTTATTGCTTATACCTAAATATCAGAAGTACTTGAAGGATGCGGTTGCAGACAGACAGAACCAGCTGGACGGAATGGTTGCTCTCAAACATGAAGTTAATGCTATCATACAGCAACCACCTCCACCTGAGAAGTTAGAAGACACTAAAAGCTTCACTGGTGTAAGATCCAAGGAGAGGCTCACTCGGATTAAATAAAATATATGTTAGTATATTTAATGTATATTTTCTAAAACATAAACATCAATATCAAATAAACATACCTTAAACTGAATATCAATAATATTACATCGAATTTTGGAAGGAATATCAAAAATTGGTGGTATTTCACCCAAGTCATCTTTTGAATATGCCTCAAGCTGAAAAAACCATCGAGTTGCACTAATTGTTTTACAAATTTAAAATAGAGGAGAAAGATAACATAAAAAGATAAATCGAAAGAAGCTTACATATTCTATATGCCTTTGAGGAAAATAATATACGTTTTCTCCAATTTTTGGAAGATCAAACAAAGGTCCACCACACAACTTCCATAACACATCATACAAATAGTTGTTGGTTTCATCAACTAAGAAAATAAAAACATTACCATTAATAAACATCTCTGAATAATAAAAAACTAAACTTGAGTTCAAAATTTTATACTTGAAGATTCATGTTGTGCATTCATAACTAGTCTAGTTGCCATCAATTCTTATCACTGGTTTCAAACTTCAACTTCCAATATATGATCCTAATCCAAAAGCTCACCAAATCCTGAATCATTTTTATTTAGATGATATTGTGACTCAAAAAACCTACATCAAACTTTATAACTCTTTTAAATGTGCATAATATTTGCAGTTGCATTTTTATGTATGCTAAATGAGACCATCGTATGGATTTACCACTAATGTATTAATATACAATTCAGAAAAGTGTATTTTAATAAACGAATTTGCATATTTTCAGTTTATTTGGCTGAATAATTGTTTATATGATATACAAAAATATAAACCTAGTTTATATAAATTATTGGATGATAAAAATCATAACTAATGATAAAATAAAAATCATAAAATTAGATAATTAGCATAATACCTTTTTAATGAATTAGTGATATCTTTGATATGTTTCCAAATTATATAGTAATATAAAAGAAACGAACTCTTCAGACAAATTAAAGAAATGAACACTTCACACAAAAAATGGTAGTGTTTATCATAAATATGTCGAATATCGTTTTTCAAACAAATATATTATTAGGATTTTTGAGAGATTATGCAGAGTCGATAAAGATTATGAATTCTTTAAACATGTGGTCTAATTTCTCCCAAATTTTAGATGAGTTTTATATGCTTTGAGATATGTTTGGTATTCTTTAGGTCTTTCTTATCTCTTGCTTTTTAAAACTAACCTTGATTTAAACACATTTTCTCCTATTTAGACAACTAATAAGGTGGTTTATGATAATTTGATGTTTGATCGACAAGAAAACATAAAAACTTTAAACTTTGATGGAAAAACAATTACAACCTGAGCAACAAATTTTATTTTATAATTTTCTTCACAAATAACATTAAGGTTTCTTAATATATATAAACTTATTTGCGTGACACTTATACAAAGATGGCATACAAAAAATTGAGAAAAGGTACAATCTTTGTTACATTTGTACCATAAAAAAACAGCCTCTTAACAAGTCGTAATTATAAAATGTAGTTAAAATTCTAATAAAGACAAACGGATCCATAGCTCAGTGGTAGAGCATTTGACTGCAGATCGAGAGGTCACCGGTTCGAACCCGGTTGGGCCCTTAAATCCTCCTTTTATACCTTATAAATATTTTAAAAATATTCTGTAATTATAACCACCTCGGTAATAAATAGTGTAATGCTTTTGAAGTTTACATGTTTTCAACATAGTTACAAGTTATAACCTATTATTAATATAAATAATCATTATACAACTGAATAGTACTTTATTAGATAATATTGAGTCTATGTCGGGTTTTACTTTAAATCATATTTATGAGATTGAAAACTTTGAAATTGAAATATTTTAGGACGTATTAAAGAGTACAAAATATGATCTTCAATATATTGAATAAATCTATTTTCAAGCATTATATTACTTTTTTTTAAACAATCAAACAAATATTACGCTAAAAAAAATAATTTTAAGATGACCAAGCTGCATTATGATTTGTGAACAAATAAAAAATAGTATAACAAGACAATAAGGTTTTTTTGTTTTTTTTTAGTTTATTGATGAATGATAAAACATCTACTATATCAAATATATTATAGACACAAACAACAATAACAATTTCAACAAAAAAATGACAGATAAGACATTCATTGCACTTGAAGCTTCAACGCCACACGAAAACAGCAAAGATCAAATTCCAAAATGTCCTACAGTATACTTTTATGTAATGCATATTTCCACCATTTATTTTATTACACTATGAAACAACAAGCATTCTTATAAAGAAAAATCTAAACATTATAAAACTCGGAAAAAAGAAACAGATTTAAGTTCTCAACATAAATTTTCTAGAAACAAAATAGAAAAACACGACAACACTTAAATGTATTTATTTTGAGATGATAACAAATAGATAGAAAATGAAATTAATTTAAAGTTATGATTTATTTTGGCGTTTGGTGATAAGTCAAGACATGTTAAAGTTGTTGTTGTCAATGTTGATCCACCTTTAGAGAATTTGTTCTTAGACCCCATTATCTTGACTTTATTTTTTGAGAGTATGAATATTTTCTTCACAACATTGGAAAACTCGCTACATACAAAAACAAACATTATCATTAAATTATTTTTAAAGTTTAAGAGAGAGAAATATAAATAAAGAGAAACTTACATCCATGGATCATTTCCAACAAGCATCATATCTCTTTCATCATCTGCAAAAACTATTTCCCATTGATTGCCCATACGCAGCTCGTCTTTGAGATCAAATTTTTTTTCTAATTCATCGATTAACTGGTCATATCCATCAAGAACAGTTAAATCCACAGCTCTTCCTATAGCTACACCTTGCATTTGAACCTGTTCAATAACAATATCAAGAATGTATGGGTTAATAAAAATCGTCTCCATCTATTTTGAACTTTTATACAAGTTCTTAATTTAAGTTTTATCTAATGTATCATGATACAAATTGAAAGCTAGTATGTATAAAAATCAATTTCATCTTTGTATTTGATTTTCTAATCATACTCATGTTCTCTAGCTCTACAATATAAAAACACTTGTAAAACTGACTAATATGTAAAGAATGAGAAATTGATAAAATTTTCTATACCTTGATACGACTTCTAGTCGAATTGATTTGCTGGCTTTGGATATCTTTTGAAGATGTCAGAGTTTGGATTTGTTCAATCTTTTCTTCTTTGGAGATTTTGGAAGTTTTAACTTTTTGGTAAAAGTCAATTTGTTCTATAAGATCTTTTGTTTCCGTTGGAGTCGTCAGATCAACTCCAAACAATTTGTAACCACTTGTTGCATCAATGGTTATATTTTCATTCGCAGACATCACCATTTGGTCGTTACTGTCCGGCTTAGATATGGTAGGAACTGAGTAGTTCATTGGCCAACTAGACGAAATCTTGAAATAATCAGTTGCATGGTGATTACTAAGCTGAGAAATACTCATTGGAGAGTTCATGCTTGATTGTCCAATTTTTTGTCCTTGAGTCAGTGTAGGAATTAGCATATCTAAACATATAAATAAAAATATAATGAGTACGATCTCACAAAGAGGACTTAGCTTATTAAATAGTGTTCTCTTACCAATACCATCAACATGACGTGATCGTTTATTCGTAAGATGCGATTGGATAATATTAGATGAAGGTGCCAAAGGCTCGATTTCCCATGGGGAAACCTTATCAGGTCTTGGAATTGATGCAGCCACATTACATTTCACCTTGAAAAACAGAGTTAGTGAAAGCTATTATTGTAATAAGAAACTCAATGTGTGAAGAATCTTACTTCTAAGCTTCGCCAATCAGAGTCTCTCCAATGAGAGGAACAATTTGTATTGTTTATAATCTTCCCCGAGTATCTTTTGCAATGAAAAAGAAACAAAAGTTTGTCATCATATTTTTGAAACAAATAAAAAAAGATAGGTCTTTAAGTTTTACCTTATTTCAGTAAAATTAGCATCTTCGAACCGCATAGTAACATTTGTATCTACTTTAAACTTTTTATTCATTGCATTACTAAATTTTTCAAAATTGACGATGAATTGGCTTGACCTTACATTATTATATCAAGAAAAAAATATAAGCATATTTGTTGAAAACATTAACCATATGACGTAATAAGTAGAATAATGAAGTGCTTTTTATACCTTGGTTTACAGAACACATTAAACATGCATTTGGTATTGATAGCATTCATTGCAGAAACAATGATTCCATGGTGCATGCTCTGTTTTGAAATTATCGACGATGGTATATTGTCTTTTTGATGAGCTGCTCTTCGTATTCCAACTCGTGACTCCCCATTCTCTCCTCTTGGATAAGAAAATAGTTAAAGTTCAAAATCTAAAACAAAAACAAAAGAATATAAAATGACAAACTATATATACCTAAGGAACACAAAAGAGTCTCCCATGACCATTTTTTTGCTCTTGCGAACGCACTCCAAGCCGTTGTAAAAATATGTCTTTTTGGTGTACCTACTTGATTGTTTATAAACAAATAAGATCACTAATCATTATTCACAGAATTTGATATAAAATATTCATTACCTCTAAAAGTATGTTTAAATATCTATTCATAATCGTGAAGATCTTTAGCAACAATTTCTTGAGTGGGTGTTGGCTGAGACATATCCTAAAAAATTTCAATGCAAAAAGGCATATAAAAGTTCATAAATCGAGTCGTATATAAGTTTATTCGGTTAAGAAAATAAGTGAAAATACCAGCGGAGGAAGACATTCATCGACATGTCTTTTTAATACTGAAAATCCACCGTGTGGATTTACATCTGAAGCAGTTAAAACTTTGGTGAAATAGTAAATTTTCTGATTTTCTTGATTGCCATTAAGAATAGAAATTCCACATTCCTATAAAATTAGCAATAAGGAAAATTATTTAAAGAGATTAATAAAAAGAATTGTTACCAATTTATAAATAAAATTTGTAAATTTTGCACTCACTGCTGTATCCGACAACAAGCTAATTTTTGCATAAATATCATCTGTATCATTCTCCACCTAATACCAAATATAAACAAAGTAATAAGTTTCTTATTTTTGATTAAATTATACATATAATATACATATCAGTATATTTCATGTATATTTTCTAAAAATATAAACATCAATATCAGATCAACATACCTTAAACTGAATATCAATAACATTGCATCGAATTTTTGAAGGAATATCAAAAATTGGTGATATTTCACACAAGTCATCTTTTGAATATGCCTCAAGCTGAAAAAAAACCAGCGAGTTGCACTAACTGTTTTACAAATTTAAACTAGAGGAGAAAGAGAACATAAAAAGATAAATCGAAAGAATCTTACATATTCTATATGCCCTTGGGGAAAGTAATATACGTTTTCTCCAATTTTTGGAAGATCAAACAAAGGTCCACCACACAACTTCCAACTCATTATACAAATAGTTGTTGGTTTTCATCAACTAAGGAAATAAAAACATTATCATTAATAAACATCTCTGAATAATAAAAAACTAAACTTGAGTTCAAAATTTTATACTTGAAGAGTCATGTTGTGCATTCAAAACTAGTCTAGTTGCCATCAGTTCTTATCACTGATTTCGAACTTCAACTTCCAATATATGATCCTAATCCAAAAGCTCACCAAATCCTGAATCATTTTTATTTAGATGATACTGTAACTAAAAAAACCTGCATTAAACTTTATAACTCTTTTAAATGTGCATAATATTTGCAGTTGCATTTTTATGTATACTAAATGAGACCATCATATGGATTTATCACTAATGTATTAATATACAATTCAGAAAAGTGTATTTTAATAAATGAATTTGCATATTTTCAGTTTATTTGGCTGAACAATTGTTTATATGATATACAAAAATATAAACCTAGTTTATATAAATTATTAGATGATAAAAATCATAATTAATGATAAAATAAAAATCATAAAATTAGATAATTAGCATAATACCTTTTTAATGAATTAGTGATATCTTTGATATTGTTCAATGATTTACTAAACAAGTTTAGTTTTTCTTCTTTTGACAATTTTTATTAAGTTTGTTTTGTCATATTTTTGATACATTACGTGTATTTATAGATGAAAAATTATTACAATCATACATTAATATTTTGCAGATTTATATTTTTGACTAACGATTTTGAACGGTTAATTAATGGGTCAAACATGCATATTTCAGAAATATCAAAAATTCTTTAATGATTTAACTATGTTTCCAAATTATATAGTAATACAAAAGAAACGAACTCTTCAGAAAAATTAAAGAAATGAACACTTCACACAAAAAATGGTAGTGTTTATCATAAATATGTCGAATATCATTTTTCAAACAAATATATTATTAGGATTTTTGAGAGATTATGCAGAGTCGATAAAGATTATGAATTCTTTAAACTTGTGGTCTAATTTCTCCCAAATTTTAGATGAGTTTTATGTGCTTTTAGATATGTTTGGTATTCTTTCGGTCTCTCTTATATCTTGCTTTTTAAAACCAACCTTGCTTTAAACACATATTCTCCCACTTAGACAACTAATAAGGTGTTGTATGATAATTTGATGTTTGATCGACAAGAAAAAATAAAAACTTTAAACTTTGATGGAAAAACAATTACAACCTGAGCAACAAATTTTTATTTATAATTTTCTTTACAAATAACATTAAGGTTTCTTAATATATATAAACTTATTCGCGTGACCCTTACACAAAGATGGCATACAAAAAATTGAGAAAAGGTACAATCTTTTTTACTTTTGCACCACAAAAAAACAGCCGCTTAACAAGTCGTAATTATTAAATGTAGTTAACATTCTAATAACGACAAACGGGTCCATAGCTCAGTGGTAGAGCATTCGACTGCAGATTGAGAGGTCACCGGTTCGAACCCGGTTGGGCCCTTAAATCCTCCTTTTATGCCTTATAAATATATTAAAAAGGTTTTGTAATTATAACCACCTCGATAATAAATGGTATAATGCTTTTGAAGTTTACATCTTTTCAATATAGTTACAAGTTATAACCTATTATTAATATAAATAACCATTATACAACTGAATAGTACTTTATTAGATAATATTGAGTCTATGTTGGGTTTTACTTTAAATCCTATTTATGAGATTGAAAACTTTGAAATTGAAATATTTTAGGACGTATTAAAGAGTACAAAATATGATCTTCAATTTATTGAATGAATCTATTTTCAGGCATTATATAACTTTTTTTTAAACAATCAAACAAATATTACGCTAAAAAAAATAATTTTAAGATGACCAAGCTGCATTATGATTTGTGAACAAATAAAAAATAGTATAACAAGACAATAAGGTTGTTTTTGTTTTTTTTAGTTTATTGATGAACGAGAAAACATCTACTATATCAAATATATTGAAGACACAAACAACAATAACAATTTCAACAAAAAAATGACAGATAAGACATTCATTGCACTTGAAGCTTCAACGCCACACAAAAACAGCAAAGATAAAATTCCAAAATGTCCTACAGTATACTTTTATGTAATGCATATTTCCACCATTTATTTAATTACATTATGAAACAACAAGCATTCTTATAAAGAAAACACTAAACATTATAAAACTCGGAAAAAAGAAATAGATGTAAGTTCTCAACATAAATTTTCCAGAAACAAAATAGAAAAACACGACAACACTTAAATGTAATTATTTTGAGATGATAGCAAATAGATAGAAAATAAAATTAATTTAAGAAGTTGTGATTTATTTTGGCGTTTGGTGATAAGTCAAGACATGTTAAAGTTGTTGTTGTCAATGTTGATCCACCTTCAGAGAATTTGTTCTTAGATCCCATTATCTTGACTTCATTTTTTGAGAGTATGAATATTTTCTTCACAAAATTGCAAAACTCGCTACATACAAAAACAAACATTATCATTAAATTCTTTTAAAAGTTTAAGTGAGAGAAATTTAAATAAAGAGAAACTTACATCCATGGATCATCTCCAACAAGCATCATATCTCCTTGATCATCTACAAAAACTATTTCCCATTGATTGCCCATACGCAGCTCGTCTTTGAGATCAAATTTTTTTTTTCTAGTTCATCGATTAACTGGTCATATCCATCAAGAACAGTTAAATCAACAGCTCTTCCTATAGCTACACCTTGCATTTGAACCTGTTCAATAACAATATCAAGAATGCATGGGCTAATAAAAACCGTCTCCATCTATTTTGAACTTTTATACAAGTTCCTAATTAAAGTTTTATCTAATGTATCATGATACAAATTAAAAGCTAGTATCTATAAAAATCAATTTCATCTTTGTATTTGATTTTCTAATCATACTCATGTTCTCTAGCTCTACAATATAAAAACACTTTTAAAACTGACTAATATGTAAAGAATGAGAAATTGATAAATTTTTCTATACCTTGATACGACTTCTAGTAGAATTGATTTGCTGGCTTTGGATATCTTTTGAAGATGTCAGAGTTTGGATTTGTTCAATCTTTTCTTCTTCGGAGATTTTGGAAGTTTTAACTTTTTGGTAAAAGTCAATTTGTTCTATAAGATCTTTTGTTTCCGTTGGAGTCGTCAGATCAACTCCAAACAATTTGTAACCACTTGTTGCATCAATGGTTATATTTTCATTCGCAGACATCACCATTTGGTTGTTACTGTCAGGCTTAGATATGGTAGGAACTGAGTAGTTCATTGGCCAACTAGACGAAATCTTGGAATAATCAGTTGCATGGTGATTACTAAGCTGAGAAATACTCATTGGAGAGTTCATGCTTGATTGTCCGATTTCTTGTCCTTGAGTCAGTGTAGGAATTAGCATATCTAAACATATAAATAAAAATATAATGAGTACGATCTCACAAAGAGGACTTAGCTTATGAAATAGTGTTCTCTTACCAATACCATCAACATGACGTGATCGTTTATTCTTAAGATGCGATTGGATAATGTTAGATGAAGGTGCCAAAGGCTCTATTTCCCATGGGGAAACCTTATCAGGTCTTGGAATTGATGCAGCCATATCCCATTTCACCTTGAAAAACAGAGTTAGTGAAAGCTATTATTGTAATAAGAAACTCAAGGTGTGAAGAATCTTACTTCTAAGCTTCGCCAGTCAGAGTCTCTCCAATGAGAAGAACAATTTGTATTGTTTATAATCTTCCCCGAGTATCTTAAGTTTATAAAAAAGATAGGTGTTTAAGTTTTACCTTATTTCAGTAAAACTAGCATCTTCGAACCGTATAGAAAAATTCGTATCTACTTTAAACTTTTTATTCATTGCATTACTAAATTTTTCAAAATTGACGATGAATTGGCTTGACCTTACATTATTATATCAAGAAAAAAATATAAGCATATTTGTTGAAAACATTAACCATATAACGTAATAAGTAGAATAATGAAGTGCTTTTTATACCTTGGTTTACAGAACACATTAAACATGCATTTGGTATTGATAGCATTCATTGCAGAAACAATGATTCCATGGTGCATACTCTGTTTTGAAATTATCGACGAGGGTATATTGTCTTGTTGATGAGCTGCTCTTCGTATTCCAACTCGTGACTCCCCATTCTCTCCTCTTGGATAAGAAAATAGTTAAAGTTCAAAATCTAAAACAAAAACAAAAGAATATAAAATGACAAACTATATATACCTAAGAAACACAAAAGAGTCTCCCATGACCATTTTTTTTGCTCTTACGAACGCACTCCAACCAGTTGTAAAAATATGTCTTTTTGGTGTACCTACTTGATTGTTTATAAACAAATAAGATCACTAATCATTATTCACAGAATTTGATATAAAAATATTTATTACCTCTAAAATTATGTTTAAATCTCCATTCATAATCGTGAAGATCTTTAGCAACTATTTCTTGAGTCGGTGTTGGCTGAGACATATCCTAAAAATTTTCAATGCAAAAAGGCATATAAAAGTTCATAAATCGAGTCGTATATAAGTTTATTCGGTTAAGAAAATAAGTGAAAATACCAGCGGAGGAAGACATTCATCGGCATGTCTTTTTAATATTGAAAATACCCCGTGTGGATTTACATCTGAAGCAGTTAAAACTTTGGTGAAATAATTAATTTTCTGATTTTCTTGATTGCCATTAAGACTAGAAATTCCACATTCCTATAAAATTAGCAATAAAGAAAATTATTTAAAGAGATTAATAAAAAGAATTATTCCTAATTTATAAATAAAAATTGTAAATTTGGCACTCACTGCTGTATCCGGCAACAAGCTAATTTTTGCATAAATATCATCTGTATCATTCTCCCCCTAATACCAAATATAAATAAAGTAATAAGTTTCGAATTTTTGATTAAATTATACATATAAAATATATGTCAGTATATTTCATACATATTTTCTAAAAACATAAACATCAATATCAGATAAACATATCTTAAACTGAATATCAATAACATTGCATCGAATTTTTGAAGGAATATCAAAAATTGGTGGTATTTCACCCAAGTCATCTTTTGAATATGCCTCAAGCTGAAATAAACCATCGAGTTGCACTAATTGTTTTACAAATTTAAACTAGAGAAGAAAGAGAACATGAAAAGATAAATCGAAAGAAACTTACAAATTCTATATGCCCTTGAGGAAAGTAATATACTTTTTCTCTAATTTTTGGAAGATCAAACAAAGGCCCACCACACAACTTCCATAACTCATCATACAAATAGTTGTTGGTTTTATCAACTAAGGAAATAAAAACATTATCATTAATAAACATCTCTGAATAATAAAAAACTAAACTTGAGTTCAAAATTTTATACCTGAAGAGTCATGTTGTGCATTCAAAACTAGTCTAGTTGCCATCAGTTCTTATCACTGATTTCGAACTTCAACTTCTAATATATGATCCTAATCCAAAAGCTCACCAAATCCTGAATCATTTTTATTTAGATGATATTGTAACGAAAAAAACCTACATCAAACTTTATAACTCTTTTAAATGTGCATAATATTTGCAGTTGCATTTTTATGTATGCTAAATGAGACCATCGTATGGATTTACCACTTATGTATTAATATACAATTCAGAAAAGTGTATTTTAATAAACGAATTTGCATATTTTCAGTTTATTTGGCTGAACAATTGTTTATATGATATACAAAAATATAAACCTAGTTTATATAAATTATTGGATGATAAAAATCATAACTAATGATAAAATAAAAATCATAAAATTAGATAATTAGCATAATACCTTTTTAATGAATTAGTGATATCTTTGATATTGTTCAATGATTTACTAAACAAGTTTAGTTTTTCTTCTTTTGACAATTTTTATTAAGTTTTTTTGTCATATTTTTGATACATTACGTGTATTTATAGATGAAAAATTATTGAAATCATTTATTAATATTTTGCAGATTTATATTTTTGACTAACGATTTTGAACGGTTAATTATTGGGTCAAACATGCATCTTTCAGAAATATCAAAAATTCTTTAATGATTTAACTATGTTTCAAAATTATATAGTAATATAAAAGAAACGAACTCTTCAGACAAATTAAAGAAATAAACACTTCACACAAAAAATGGTAGTGTTTATCATAAATATGTCGAATATCGTTTTTCAAACAAATATATTATTAGGATTTTTGAGAGATTATGCAGAGTCGATAAAGATTATGAATTCTTTAAACATGTGGTCTAATTTCTTCCAAATTTTAGATGAGTTTTATGTGCTTTGAGATATGTTTGGTATTCTTTCGGTCTCTCTTATCTCTTGCTTTTTAAAACCACCATTGCTTTAAACACATATTCTCCCACTTAGACAACTAATAAGGTGTTTTATGATAATTTGATGTTTGATCGACAAGAAAAAATAAAAACTTTAAACTTTGATGGAAAAACAATTACAACCTGAGCAACAAATTTTAATTTATAATTTTCTTTACAAATAACATTAAGGTTTCTTAATATATATAAACTTATTCGCGTGATCCTTATACAAAGATGGCATACAAAAAATTGAGAAAAGGTACAATCTTTTTTACATTTGCACCACAAAAAAACAGCCGCTTAACAAGTCGTAATTATTAAATGTAGTTAAAATTCTAATAAAGACAAACGGGTCCATAACTCAGTGGTAGAGCATTCAACTGCAGATCGAGAGGTCACCGGTTCGAACCCGGTTGGGCCCTTAAATCCTTCTTTTATGCCTTATAAATATATTAAAAAGATTTTGTAATTATAACCACCTCGATAATAAATGGTGTAATGCTTTTGAAGTTTACATGTTTTCAACATAGTTACAAGTTATAACCTATTATTAATATAAATAACCATTATACAACTGAATAGTACTTTATTAGATAATATTGAGTCTATGTCCGGTTTTACTTTAAATCATATTTATGAGATTGAAAACTTTGAAATTGAAATATTTTAGGACGTATTAAAGAGTACAAAATATGATCTTCAATATATTATATGAATCTATTTTTAAGCATTATATAACTTTTTTTTAAACAATCAAACAAATATTACGCTAAAAAAATAATTTTAAGATGACCAAGCTGCATTATGATTTGTGAACAAATAAAAAATAGTATAACAAGACAATAAGGTTGTTTTTGTTTTTTTTAGTTTATTGATGAACGATAAAACATCTACTATATCAAATATATTGAAGACACAAACAACAATAACAATTTCAACAAAAAAATGACAGATAAGACATTCATTGCACTTGAAGCTTCAACGCCACACGAAAACAGCAAAGATCAAATTCCAAAATGTCCTACAGTATATTTTTATGTAATGCAGATTTCCACCATTTATTTTATTACATTATAAAACAACAAGCATTCTTATAAAGAAAATACTAAACATTATAAAACTCGGAAAAAAGAAACAGATTTAAGTTCTCAACATAAATTTTCCAGAAACAAAATAGAAAAACACGACAACACTTAAATGTAATTATTTTGAGATGATAGCAAATGGATAGAAAATGAAATTAATTTAAGAAGTTGTGATTTATTTTGGCGTTTGGTGATAAGTCAAGACATGTTAAAGTTGTTGTTGGCAATGTTGATCCACCTTCAGAGAATTTGTTCTTGCATCCCATTATCTTGACTTCGTTTTTTGAGAATATGAATATTTTCTTCACAACATTACAAAACTCGCTACATACAAAAACAAAAATTATCATTAAATTCTTTTTAAAGTTTAAGAGAGAGAAATATAAATAAAGAGAAACTTACATCCATGGATCATCTCCAACAAGCATCATATCTCCTTCATCATCTGCAAAAACTATTTCCCATTGATTGCCCATACGCAGCTCGTCTTTGAGATCAAAATTTTTTTCTAGTTCATCGATTAACTGGTCATATCCATCAAGAACAGTTAAATCCACAGCTCTTCCTATAGCTACACCTTGCATTTGAACATGTTCAATAACAATAATAAGAATGCATGGGCTAATAAAAATCGTCTCCATCTATTTTGAACTTTTATACAAGTTCCTAATTAAAGTTTTATCTAATGTATCATGATACAAATTAAAAGCTAGTATGTATAAAAATCAATTTCATCTTTGTATTTCATTTTCTAATCATACTCATGTTCTCTTGCTCTACAATATAAAAACGCTTTTAAAACTGACTAATATGTAAAGAATGAGAAATTGATAAATTTTTCTATACCTTGATACGACTTCTAGTAGAATTGATTTGCTGGCTTTGGATATCTTTTGAAGATGTCAGAGTTTGGATTTGTTCAATCTTTTCTTCTTCGGAGATTTTGGAAGTTTTAACTTTTTGGTATAAGTCAATTTGTTCTATAAGATCTTTTGTTTCCGTTGGAGTCGTCAGATCAACTCCAAACAATTTGTAACCACTTGTTGCATCAATGGTTATATTTTCATTCGCAGACATCACCATTTGGTTGTTACTGTCCGGCTTAGATATGGTAGGAACTGAGTAGTTCATTGGCCAACTAGACGAAATCTTGGAATAATCAGTTGCATGGTGATTACTAAGCTGAGAAATACTCATTGGAGAGTTCATGCTTGATTGTCCGATTTCTTGTCCTTGAGTCAGTGTAGGAATTAGCATATCTAAACATATAAATAAAAATATAATGAGTACGATCTCACAAAGAGGACTTAGCTTATTAAATAGTGTTCTCTTACCAATACCATCAACATGACGTGATCGTTTATTCTTAAGATGCGATTGGATAATGTTAGATGAAGGTGCCAAAGGCTCGATTTCCCATGGGGAAACCTTATCAGGTCTTGGAATTGATGCAGCCACATCCCATTTCACCTTGAAAAACAGAGTTAGTGAAAGCTATTATTGTAATAAGAAACTCAGGGTGTGAAGAATCTTACTTCTAAGCTTCGCCAGTCAGAGTCTCTCCAATGAGAGGAACAATTTGTATTGTTTATAATCTTTCCCGAGTATCTTTTGCAATGAAAAAAGAAACAAAAATTTGTAATCATATTTTTGAAACAAATAAAAAAAGATAGGTGTTTAAGTTTTACCTTATTTCAGTAAAACTAGCATCTTCGAACTGCATAGTAAAATTCGTATCTACTTTAAACTTTTTATTCATTGCATCAATATATTTTTCAAAATTGACGATGAATTGGCTTGACCTTACATAATTATATCAAGAAAAAAATATAAGCATATTTGTTGAAAACATTAACCATATGACGTAATAAGTAGAATAATGAAGTGCTTTTTATACCTTGGCTTACAGAACACATTGAACATGCATTTGGTACTGATAGCATTCATTGCAGAAACAATGATTCCATGGTGCATACTCTGTTTTGAAATTATCGACGAGGGTATATTGTCTTGTTGATGCGCTGCTCTTCGTATTCCAACTCGTGACTCTCCATTCTCTCCTCTTGAATAAGAAAATAGTTCAAGTTCAAAATCTAAAACAAAAACAAAAGAATATAAAATGACAAACTATATATACCTAAGGAACACAAAAGAGTCTCCCCTGACCAATTTTTTTGCTCTTGCGAACGCACTCCAACCAGTTGTAAAAATATGTCTTTTTGGTGTACCTACTTGATTATTTATAAACAAATAAGATCACTAATCATTATTCAAAGAATTTGATATAAAAATATTCATTACCTCTAAAGGTATGTTTAAATCTCCATTCATAATCGTGAAGATCTTTAGCAACTATTTCTTGAGTCGGTGTTGGCTGAGACATATCCTAAAAAATTTCAATGCAAAAAGGCATATAAAAGTTCATAAATCGAGTCGTATATAAGTTTATTCGGTTAAGAAAATAAGTGAAAATACCAGCGGAGGAAGACATTCATCGGCATGTCTTTTTAATATTGAAAATCCCCCGTGTGGATTTACATCTGAAGCAGTTAAAACTTTGGTGAAATAGTAAATTTTCTGATTTTCTTGATTGCCATTAAGACTAGAAATTCCACATTCCTATAAAATTAGCAATAAGGAAAATTATTTAAAGAGATTAATAAAAAGAATTGTTCTCAATTTATAAAAAAAATTTGTAAATTTGGCACTCACTGCTGTATCCGGCAACAAGCTAATTTTTGCATAAATATCATCTGTATCATTCTCCACCTAAAACCAAATATAAACAAAGTAATAAGTTTCTTATTTTTGATTAAATTATACATATAAAATATATGTCAGTATATTTCATGCATATTTTCTAAATACATAAACATCAATATCAAATAAACATACTTTAAACTGAATATCAATAACATTGCATCGAATTTTTGAAGGAATATCAAAAATTGGTGGTATTTCACCCAAATCATCTTTTGAATATGCCTCAAGCTGAAATAAACCATCAAGTTGCACTAATTGTTTTACAAATTTAAACTAGAGGAGAAAGATAACATAAAAAGATCAATCGAAAGAAACTTACAAATTCTATATGCCCTTGAGGAAAGTAATATACTTTTTCTCTAATTTTTGGAAGATCAAACAAAGGCCCACCACACAACTTGCATAACTCATCATACAAATAGTTGTTGGTTTCATCAACTAAGGAAATAAAAACATTATCATTAATAAACATCTCTGAATAATAAAAAACTAAACTTGAGTTCAAAATTTTATACCTGAAGAGTCATATTGTGCATTCAAAACTAATCTAGTTGCCATCAGTTCTTATCACTGATTTCGAACTTCAACTTCCAATATATGACCCTAATCCAAAAGCTCACCAAATCCTGAATCATTTTTATTTAGAAGATATTGTAACTCAAAAAACCTACATCAAACTTTATAACTCTTTTAAATGTGCATAATATTTGCAGTTGTATTTTTATGTATGCTAAATGACACCATCGTATGGATTTACCACTTATGTATTAATATACAATTCAGAAAAGTGTATTTTAATAAACGAATTTGCATATTTTCAGTTTATTTGGCTGAACAATTGTTTATATGATATACAAAAATATAAACCTAGTTTATATAAATTATTGGATGATAAAAATCATAACTAATGATAAAATAAAAATCATAAAATTAGATAATTAGCATAATACCTTTTTAATGAATTAGTGATATCTTTGATATTGTTCAATGATTTACTAAACAAGTTTAGTTTTTCTTCTTTTGACAATTTTTATTAAGTTTGTTTTGTCATATTTTAGATACATTACCTGTATTTATAGATGAAAAATTATTGAAATCATACATTAATATTTTGCAGATTTATATTTTTGACTAACGATTTTGAACGGTTAATTAATGGGTCAAACATGCATCTTTCAGAAATATCGAAAATTCTTTAATGATTTAACTATGTTTCCAAATTATATAGTAATATAAAAGAAACGAACTCTTCAGACAAATTAAAGAAATGAACACTTCACACAAAAAATGGTAGTGTTTATCATAAATATGTCGAATATCGTTTTTCAAACAAATATATTATTAGGATTTTTGAGAGATTATGCAGAGTCGATAAAGATTATGAATTCTTTAAACATCTGGTCTAATTTCTCCCAAATTTTAGATGAGTTTTATGTGCTTTGAGATATGTTTGGTATTCTTTCGGTCTCTCTTATCTCTTGCTTTTTAAAACCAACATTGCTTTAAACACATTTTCTCCCACTTAGACAACTAATAAGGTGTTTTATGATAATTTGATGTTTGATCGACAAGAAAAAATAAAAACTTTAAATTTTGATGAAAAACAATTACAACCTGAACAACCAATTTTAATTTATAATTTTCTTTACAAATAACATTAAGGTTTCTTAATATATATAAACTTATACGCGTGACCCTTATACAAAGATGGCATACAAAAAATTGAGAAAATGTACAATCTTTTTTACATTTGCACCACAAAAAAACAGCCACTTAACAAGTCGTAAGTATTAAATATAGTTAAAATTCTAATAAAGACAAACGGGTCCATAGCTCAGTGGTAGAGCATTCGACTGCAGATCGAGAGGTCACCGGTTCGAACCTGGTTGGGCCCTTAAATCCTCCTTTTATGCCTTATAAATATATTAAAAAGATTTTGTAATTATAACTACCTCGATAATAAATGGTGTAATACTTTTGAAGTTTACATGTTTTCAACATAGTTACAAGTTATAACCTATTATTAATATAAATAACCATTATACAACTGAATAGTACTTTATTAGATAATATTGAGTCTATATCGGGTTTTACTTTAAATCATATTTATGAGATTGAAAACTTTGAAATTGAAATATTTTAGGACGTATTAAAGAGTACAAAATATGATCTTCAATATATTATATGAATCTATTTTCAAACATTATATAACTTTTTTTAAAACAATCAAACAAATATTACGCTAAAAAAAATAATTTTAAGATGACCAAGCTGCATTATGATTTGTGAACAAATAAAAAATAGTATAACAAGACAATAAGGTTTTTTTATTTTTTTAATTTATTGATGAACGATAAAACATCTACTATATCAAATATATTATAGACACAAACAACAATAATAATTTCAACAAAAAAATGACAGATAAGACATTCATTGCACTTGAAGCTTCAACGCCACACGAAAACAGCAAAGATCAAATTCTAAAATGTCCTACAGTATATTTTTATGTAATGCATATTTCCCCCATTTATTTTATTACATTATGAAACAACAAGCATTCTTATAAAGAAAACACTAAACATTATAAAACTCGGAAAAAAGAAACAGATTTAAGTTCTCAACATAAATTTTCCAGAAACAAAATAGAAAAACACGACAACACTTAAATGTAATTATTTTGAGATGATAGCAAATAGATAGAAAATGAAATTAATTTAAGAAGTTGTGATTTATTTTGATGTTTGGTGATAAGTCAAGACATGTTAAAGTTGTTGTTGTCAATGTTGATCCACCTTCAGAGAATTTGTTCTTGCATCCCATTATCTTGACTTCGTTTTTTGAGAGTATGAATATTTTCTTCACAATATTACAAAACTCGCTACATACAAAAACAAAAATTATCATTAAATTCTTTTTAAAGTTTAAGAGAGAGAAATATAAATAAAGAGAAACTTACATCCATGGATCATCTCCAACAAGCATCATATCTCCTTCATCATCTGCAAAAACTATTTCCCATTGATTGTCTATACGCAGCTCGTCTTTGAGATCAAAACTTTTTTCTAGTTCATCGATTAACTGGTCATATCCATCAAGAACAGTTAAATCCACAGCTCTTCCTATAGCTACACCTTGCATTTGAACCTGTTCAATAACAATATCAAGAATGTATGGGCTAATAAAAATCGTCTCCATTTATTTTGAACTTTTATACAAGTTCCTAATTAAAGTTTTATCTATTGTATCATGATACAAATTAAAAGGTAGTATGTATAAAAATCAATTTCATCTTTGTATTTGATTTTCTAATCATACTCATGTTCTCTAGCTCTACAATATAAAAACACTTTTAAAACTGACTAATATGTAAAGAATGAGAAATTGATAAATTTTTCTATACCTTGATACGACTTCTAGTAGAATTGATTTGCTGGCTTTGGATATCTTTTGAAGATGTCAGAGTTTGGATTTGCTCAATCTTTTCTTCTTCGGAGATTTTGGAAGTTTTAACTTTTTGGTATATGTCAATTTGTTCTATAAGATCTTTTGTTCCTGTTGTAGTCGTCAGATCAACTCCAAACATCACCATTTGGTTGTTACAGTCCGGCTTAGATATGGTAGGAACTGAGTAGTTCATTGGCCAACTAGACGAAATCTTGGAATAATCAGTTGCATGGTGATTACTAAGCTGAGAAATACTCATTGGAGAGTTCATGCTTGATTGTCCGATTTCTTGTCCATGAGTCAGTGTAGGAATTAGCATATCTAAACATATAAATAAAAATATAATGAGTACGATCTCACAAAGAGGACTTAGCTTATTAAATAGTGTTCTCTTACCAATACCATCAACATGACGTGATCGTTTATTCTTAAGATGCGATTGGATAATGTTAAATGAAGGTGCCAAAGGCTCGATTTCCCATGGGGAAACCTTATCAGGTCTTGGAATTGATGCTGCCACATCCTATTTCACCTTCAAAAACAGAGTTAGTGAAAGCTATTATTGTAATAAGAAACTCAAGGTGTGAAGAATCTTACTTCTAAGCTTCGCCAGTCAGAGTCTCTCCAATGAGAGGAACAATTTGTATTGTTTATAATCTTCCCCGAGTATCTTTTGCAATGAAAAAAGAAACAAAAATTTGTAATCATATTTTTGAAACAAATAAAGAAAGATAGGTGTTTAAGTTTTACCTTATTTCAGTAAAATTAGCATCTTCGAACCGCATAGTAAAATTCGTATCTACTTTAAACTTTTTATTCATTGCATCACTATATTTTTTAAAATTGATGATGAATTGGCTTGACCTTACAGAATTATATCAAGAAAAAAATATAAGCATATTTATTGAAAACATTAACCATATGACGTAATAAGTAGAATAATGAAGTGCTTTTTATACCTTGGCTTACAGAACTCATTGAACATGCATTTGGTATTGATAGCATTCATTGCAGAAACAATGATTCCATGGTGCATACTCTGTTTTGAAATTATCGACGAGGGTATATTGTCTTATTGATGAGCTGCTCTTCGTATTCCAACTCGTGACTCTCTATTCTCTCCTCTTGGGTAAGAAAATAGTTAAAGTTCAAAATCTAAAACAAAAACAAAAGAATATAAAATGACAAACTATATATACCTAAGGAACACAAAAGAGTCTCCTATGACCAGTTTTTTTGCTCTTGCGAACGCACTCCAACCAGTTTAAAAATATGTCTTTTTGGTGTACCTACTTGATTGTTTATAAACATATAAGATCACTAATCATTATTCACAGAATTTGATATAAAAATATTCATTACCTCTAAAGATATGTTTAAATCTCCATTCATAATCGTGAAGATCTTTAGCAACTATTTCTTGAGTGGGTGTTGGCTGAGACATATCCTAAAAAATTTCAATGCAAAAAGGCATATAAAAATTCATAAATCGAGTCGTATATAAGTTTATTCGGTTAAGAAAATAAGTGAAAATATCAGCGGAGGAAGACATTCATCGGCATATCTTTTTCATATTGAAAATCCCCCGTGTGGATTTACATCTCAAGCAGTCAAAACTTTGGTGAAATAGTAAATTTTCTGATTTTCTTGATTGCCATTAAGACTAGAAATTCCACATTCCTATAAAATTAGCAATAAGAAAAACTATTTAAAGATATAAATAAAAAGAATTGTTACCAATTTATAAATAAAATTTGTAACTTTGGCACTCACTGCTGTATCCGGCAAGAAGCTAATTTTTGCATAAATATCATATGTATCATTCTCCACCTAATACCAAATATAAACAAAGTAATAAGTTTCTTATTTTTGATTAAATTATACATATAAAATATATGTCAGTATATTTCATGTATATTTTCTAAAAACATAAACATCAATATCAGATAAACATACCTTAAACTGAATATCAATAACATTGCATCGAATTTTTGAAAGAATATCAAAAATTGGTGGTATTTCACCCAAGTCATCTTTTGAATATGCCTCAAGCTGAAAAAAAAAACCATCGAGTTGCACTAATTTTTTTACAAATTTAAACTAGAAGAGAAAGAGAACATAAAAGGATAAATCGAAAGAATCTTACATATTCTATATGCTCTTGGGGAAAGTAATATACGTTTTCTCCAATTTTTGGAAGATCAAACAAAGGCCCACCACACAACTTCTATAACTCATCATACAAATAGTTGTTGGTTTCATCAACTAAGGAAATAAAAACATTATCATTAATAAACATCTCTGAATAATAAAAAACTAAACTTGAGTTCAAAATTTTATACCTGAAGAGTCATGTTGTGCATTCAAAACTAGTCTAGTTGCCATCAGTTCTTATCACTGATTTCGAACTTCAACTTCCAATATATGATCCTAATCCAAAAGCTCACCAAATCCTGAATCATTTTTATTTAGATGATATTATAACTCAAAAAACCTACATCAAACTTTATAACTCTTTTAAATGTGCATAATATTTGCAGTGGCAATTTTATGTATGCTAAATGAGACCATCGTATGGATTTACCACTAATGTATTAATATACAATTCAGAAAAGTGTATTTTAATAAACGAATTTGCATATTTTCAGTTTATTTGGCTGAACAATTGTTTATATGATATACTAAAATATAAACGTAGTTTATATAAATTAGTGGATGATAAAAATCATAACTAATGATATAATAAAAATCATAAAATTAGATAATTAGCATAATATCTTTTTAGTGATTTAGTGATATCTTTGATATTGTTCAATGATTTACTAAACAAGTTTAGTTTTTCTTCTTTTGACAATTTTTATTAAGTTTGTTTTGTCATATTTTTGATACATTACGTGTATTTATAGATAAAAAAACTATTGAAATCATACATTAATATTTTGCAGATTTATATTTTTGACTAACGATTTTGAAAGATTAATTAATGGGTCAAACATGCATCTTTCAGAAATATCGAAACTTCTTTAATGATTTAACTATGTTTCCAAATTATATAGTAATATAAAAGAAACGAACACTTCTGACAAATTAAAGAAATGAACACTTCACACAAAATGGTAGTGTTTATCATAAATATGTCGAATATCGTTTTTCAAACAAATATATTATTAGGATTTTTGAGAGATTATGCGGAGTCGATAAAGATTATGAATTCTTTAAACATGTGGTCTAATTTCTCCCAAATTTTAGATGAGTTTTATGTACTTTGAGATATGTTTGGTATTCTTTCGGTCTCTCTTATTTTTGCTTTTTAAAGCCAACCTTGCTTTAAACACATTTTCTCCCACTTAGACAACTAATAAGGTGTTTTATGATAATTTGATGTTTGATCGACAAGAAAAAATAAAAACTTTAAACTTTGATGGAAAAACAATTACAACCTGAGCAACAAATTTTAATTTATAATTTTCTTTACAAATAACATTAAGGTTTCTTAATATATATAAACTTATTCGCGTGACCCTTATACAAAGACGGCATACAAAAAATTAAGAAAATGTACAATCTTTTTTACATTTGCACTACAAAAAAAACAGCCTCTTAATAAGTCGTAATTATTAAATGTAGTTAAAATTCTAATAAAGACAAACGGATCTGTGGTAGAGCATTTGACTGCAGATCGAGAGGTCACCGGTTTGAACCCGGTTGGGCCTTTAAATCCTCCTTTTATGCCTTATAAATATATTAAAAATATTTTGTAATTATAACCACCTTGATAATAAATAGTGTAATGTTTTTGAAGTTTACATGTTTTCAACATAGTTAAAAGTTATAACCTATTATTAATGTAAATAACCATTATACAACTGAATAGTACTTTATTAGATAATATTGAGTCTATGTCGGGTTTTACTTTAAATCATATTTATGAGATTGAAAACTTTGAAATTAAAAAATTTTAGGACGTATTAAAGAGTATAAAATAAGATCTTCAATATATTGAATGAATCTATTTTCAAGCATTATATAACTTTTTTAAAAACAATCAAACAAATATTACGCTAAAAAAAATAATTTTAAGATGACCAAGCTGCATTATGATTTGTGAACAAATAAAAAATAGTATAACAAGACAATAAGGTTTTTTTATTTTTTTAATTTATTGATGAACGATAAAATATCTACTATATCAAATATATTATAGACACAAACAACAATAATAATTTCAACAAAAAAATGACAGATAAGACATTCATTGCACTTGAAGCTTCAACGCCACACGAAAACAGCAAAGATCAAATTCTAAAATGTCCTACAGTATATTTTTATGTAATGCATATTTCCCCCATTTATTTTATTACATTATGAAACAACAAGCATTCTTATAAAGAAAACACTAAACATTATAAAACTCGGAAAAAAGAAACAGATTTAAGTTCTCAACATAAATTTTCCAGAAACAAAATAGAAAAACACGACAACACTTAAATGTAATTATTTTGAGATGATAGCAAATAGATAGAAAATGAAATTAATTTAAGAAGTTGTGATTTATTTTGATGTTTGGTGATAAGTCAAGACATGTTAAAGTTGTTGTTGTCAATGTTGATCCACCTTCAGAGAATTTGTTCTTGCATCCCATTATCTTGACTTCGTTTTTTGAGAGTATGAATATTTTCTTCACAATATTACAAAACTCGCTACATACAAAAACAAAAATTATCATTAAATTCTTTTTAAAGTTTAAGAGAGAGAAATATAAATAAAGAGAAACTTACATCCATGGATCATCTCCAACAAGCATCATATCTCCTTCATCATCTGCAAAAACTATTTCCCATTGATTGTCCATACGCAGCTCGTCTTTGAGATCAAAACTTTTTTCTAGTTCATCGATTAACTGGTCATATCCATCAAGAACAGTTAAATCCACAGCTCTTCCTATAGCTACACCTTGCATTTGAACCTGTTCAATAACAATATCAAGAATGTATGGGCTAATAAAAATCGTCTCCATTTATTTTGAACTTTTATACAAGTTCCTAATTAAAGTTTTATCTATTGTATCATGATACAAATTAAAAGGTAGTATGTATAAAAATCAATTTCATCTTTGTATTTGATTTTCTAATCATACTCATGTTCTCTAGCTCTACAATATAAAAACACTTTTAAAACTGACTAATATGTAAAGAATGAGAAATTGATAAATTTTTCTATACCTTGATACGACTTCTAGTAGAATTGATTTGCTGGCTTTGGATATCTTTTGAAGATGTCAGAGTTTGGATTTGTTCAATCTTTTCTTCTTCGGAGATTTTTGACTAACGATTTTGAAAGGTTAATTAATGGGTCAAACATGCATCTTTTTGAAATATCAAAACTTCTTTAATGATTTAATTATGTTTCCAAATTATATAGTAATATAACACTTCAGGCAAATTGAAGACATGAACAATTCACACAAAAAATGGTAGAGTTTCTCATAAATATGTGAAATGTCTTTTTTCAAACAAATATATTATTAGGATTTTTTAGGGATTATGCAGAGTCGAGAAAGATTATGTTTTCCTTAAACATGTGGTCTACTTTCTCCAAAATAGATGAATTTTATGTGCTTTGAGATATGTTTGGTATTCTTCAGTCTCTCTTATCTCTTGCATTTCAAAACTAGCCTTGTTTTTTTTGTAGAGTGAAACACATTTTCTCTTATTTAGACAACCAATAAGGTGTTTATTGATAATTTAATGTTTGATCGACATGAAAAAATAAACACTTTGAACTTTAAAGGAAAACCATTTAGAAACTGAACAATAAATTTTAATTTAAAATTTTTTTTACAAATTACTTTAAGTTTTCTTAATATATAATAAATTATTTGGGTAGCCCTTATACAAAGATTATACGCACATTTTCACCACAAAAAGCATCTTCTTATAAGGTCGTAATTATTTAATGTGTTAAATTATAATAAAGATAAAAGGTTTCATAGCTCAATGGTAGAGCATTCGACTGCAGATTGAGATGTCACCGGTTAGAACCCGGTTGGGCCCTTGTTTGCTCTCTTTTATGCCTTGTAAATATATTACAAAGCTTTTGCAATTATAACCACCTCGATTGTAGTTGTATGGCATCATTTTCATGTGTATGATCAATTACGATAATAAATGGTATATTGCTTTTGAAATTTACATGTTTTTAACATATTTACAAGTCATAACCTCTTATTAGTATAAATAACCATTCAATACTTGAATAGTATTTTATCAGACAGTATTGAGTCTATATCAGGTTTTACTTTTAATCATATTTATGAAATTGAAACATTGGAAACCTTGAAAGTGAAATATCTATGACATATTAAAGAGCATAAAATATGATCTTTAATATACTGAATGAATCTAATTTCAAGCATTATATAATATTTTTATTAAAACAATCAAATAAATATTACGTTAATTTTTTTTTATTTTAAGATGATCAAGCATACGTTATGATTTGTGAACAAAGAAAAAACAGAGTATAACAAGACAATAAAGTTTTTTACAGTTAATTGATGAACCAGAAAACATCTATTATATCAAGTATATTATGGATACAGACAACAGTAAAAATTTCAACATAAAACTGAAAAACATTTGTTGCACTTGAAGCTTCAATGCCACACGAAAAGATCAAATGCCAAAATGTCCTAAAGCATACTTTTAGGTAATGCATATTTCCACCATTTTTTATTACATTATGTATCAAACAACTTTTCTTATAAAGCAAACACTAAACATTCTAAAACTGGGAAAAAAAAAGAAAACACATTTAAGTTCTCGGCATAACTTTTCCACAAACAAAACAGAAAAACATGACAACACTCAATGCATGTATTTGAGATAAAAGAAAATATGTAGAAAATTAAATTAATTTAAGAAGCTGTGAATTATTTTGGCATCTCGTTGAAAGTCAAAACATGTTAAAGTTCAATTTTGAGCCACCTTCAGAGAATTCGTTCTTTGATCCCATTATCTTCACTTCCTTTTTTGAGCGTATGAAAATTTTCTTCACAACATTGCAAAACTCGCTACAAACAAAATCAAAAATTCTCATTAAATTCTTTCTAAAAGTTTACAGAGAGAAAGATAAATAAAGAGAAACTTCATCCATGGATCATATCCAACAAGCATCATATCTCTTTCATCATCTGCAAAAACTATTTCCCGTAGATTGCGTGTACGCAGCTCGTCTTTGAGATTAAAAAGTTTTTTTAGTTCATCGATTAACTAAAAAAACTTTTTAAATCCACAGCTCTTCCTATAGCAACACCTTGCATTTGAACATGTTCAATAACAATATCAATAATATATAGGCTAATCAAAAAATCGTCTCCATCTATTTTGAACATTCATACATGTTTCTAATTAAAGTTTTATCTAATGTATTATGATACAAATTAAAAATGCTAGTATATCAATTTTTTCTTTGTATTTAATTTTCTAATCATACCCATGTTCTCTAGATGTACAAAATAAAAACACTTTAAAACTGACTAATATGTAAAAAATGACAAAATTGATAAAAAAAAAAAATTATTTACCTAGATATGACTTCTAGTACAATTGATTTGCTGGCATTAGATATCCTTTGATGATGTCAGAGTTTGCATTTGTTCAATCTTTTCTTCTGCGGAGATTTTGGAAATATTTACTTTTTAGTATAAGTCAATTTGTTCTATAAGATCTTTTGTCTCTGTTGGAGCCGTCAGATCAACTCCGAACAATTTGTAACCACTTGTTGCATCAATGGTTATCTTTTTATTCTCAGATATAACCATTTGGTCATTACAGTTCGGCTTAGATATGGTAGGAACTGAGTAGTTCATTTGCAAACCAGGCGAAACCTTGGAATAATTAGTTGCATTGTGATTACAAAGCTGAGAAATACTAATTGGAGAGTTCATGTTTGATTGTCCGATTTCTTTTCCTTGAGCCAGGTCAGGAATCCACAAATCTAAACCTATACATACAAATATAATGAGAATGATCTCACAAAGAGGACTTAACTTATTAAATAGTGTTCTCTTACCAATTTCATCAACATGACATGGTTGTTTATTCTTAAGATGCAACTGGATAATGTTTCATGAAGGTGCCAAAAGCTCGATTTTCCATGGGGAAACCTTATCAAGTCTTGCAATTAATGCAGCCACATCCCATTTCACCTACAAAAACAGAGTTAGTGAATGTTATTATTCTAATAAAAAACTCAACATGTGGAGAATCTTACTTTTAATCTTCGCCATTCAAAATCTCTCCAATGAGAAGAACAATTTATATTGTTTATAATCTTCTCCGGATATCTTTTGCAATGAAAATAGAAACGACAATTTGAAATCATATTTTTAAAATAAATAACAAAAAATAGGTGTTTAAGTTTTACCTTATTTCAGTAAAATTAGCACTTTCAAACCGCATAGTAAAATTCTAATCTACTTTTGTAACGCCCCCAACCGTCCCTACCGGCAAGCACACCCACGTCCTCTCTAGGGCCCATGGGCCCCACCCCTGTCCAACGGCCGGTGTGTTATTTTTCTTGGATCCCAACCGACTTATTTACTGACCCTGCAATCACCACATGATCTTTCCTTGTGTTTTAGCCTCACTCACACGGTTTCAGGAATCACTTTCCGAAAGATCACCCATTCTAGTCCTGCTCCAGCTCAAGCATGCTTAACTCTAGAGTTCTCTCAGACCCACTAACCGAAAAGATAAGTGCACTTTGATGACATAGGTAGCCAAATCAATCCATTTAAACTTATTCAAATGGGCCGGGCCCGGGTCGTTAAAATTCCCCACCCCCCCCCCCCCTAAACGGAAATTCGTCCCTGAATTCTGATCCCGACAGTGTGAGTCATAACCACCAAACCCTAAGACAGTCTCGTGGAACAGAGCCAGTTTGACTTCCCAGGCTCTGATACCACTTGTAACGCCTCCGAACGCCCCTACCGGTGAGCACACCCACGTCCTCTCTCAGGCCCGTGGGCCCACCCCTGTCCCACGGCCGGTTCGTTATTTTTTCCGGAGCCCAACCGACTTATTTACTGACTCTGAAATCACCACATGATCTTTCTCCGTGTTTCGGCCTCACTCACACGGTTTCAGGAATCACTTCCCAAAAAGTCACCCATCTTAGTCCTGCTCCAGCTCAAGCACATTTAACTCTAGAGTTCTCTCAGACCCACTAACAGAAAAGATAAATGTACTTTGATGACATAGGTAGCCAAATCAATCTATTAAACTTATTCAAATTGGTCGGGACCGGGTTGTCAAAATTCTCCCCCACTAAACGGAATTCGTACCCGAATTCTGATCCTGACAGTGTGAGTTATAACCCCCAAAACCCTAAGACAGTCTCCTGGAACATAACCAGTTTGACTTCCCAAGCTCTGATATCACTTGTAACGCCCCTGACCGCCCCTACTGGTGAGCACACCCACATTCTCTCTCGGGCCGGTGGGCCTCACCCCTGTCTGACGGCCGGTGCATTATTTTTCCTGGAGACCAACCAACTTATTTACTGACCCTGCAATCACCACATGATCTTTCTCCATGTTTTGGCCTCACTCAAACGGTTTCGAGAATGACTTCCCGAAAGGTCACCCATCCTAGTCTCCAGCTCAAGCATGCTTAACTCTGGAGTTGTCTCAAACCCACTAACCGAAAAGATAAGTGCACCTTGATGACATAGATAGCCAAATCAGTCTATTTAAACTTATTCAAATGGGCTGGGCCAGGTCGTTAAAACTTTAAACTTATATTTCATTGCATCAATATATTTGTCAAAATTTAACGACAAATTGGCTTGACCTTATATAATTATATCAAGAACGAAAATATAAGCATATTTGTTGAAAACTTTAATTATATGATGTAATAAGTAGAATAAAGAAGTGATTTTTATACTTTGGCTTACAGAACACATCGAACGTGCATTTGTAATTGATAGCGTTCATTGCAGAAACAATGATTCCATAGTGCATACTCTGTTTGAAATTATCGATGAAGGTATATTGTCTTTGATATTGTTCAATGATTTACCAAACAAGTTTGGTTTTTCTTCTTTAGACAATTTTTATTTAGTTTGATTTGTCATAATTTTGATACACTGCATGTATTTATAGATAAAAAACTATTGAAATCATACATAAATATTTTGCAGATCTATATTTTTGACTACCGATTTTGAAAGCTTAATTAATGGGTCAAACATACATCTTTTACATCTTTTAAAAACATCAAAAATAATTTAATGATCTAGTTATGTTTCCAAATCATATAGTAATATAAAAGAAACAAACACTTCACACAAATTAAAGAAACAAATACTTCAGACAAAAAATGGTAGTGTTTATCATAAATATATCGAATATCTTTTTTCAAACAAATATATTATTAGAATTTTTTTGGGATTATGCAGAGTTGATAAAGATTAGGTACTCCTTAAACATGTGGTCTACTTTCTCCCAAATTTTAGATGAGTTTTATGTGCTTTGAGATATGTTTGGTATTCCTTTGGTCTCTCTTATCTCTTGCTTTTCAAAACTATCCTTCTTTTTGTAGGGGTAAACACATTTTCTTTAATTTAGACAACCAGTGAGGTGTTTTATGAAAATTTAATGTTTGATCGACAAGAAAGAATAATCACTTTGAATTTTAATGGAAAACAATTTACAAACTGAACAATAAATTTTAATTTAGAATTTTCTTTACAAATAACTTTAAGGTTTCTTAATATATAAAAACTTATTTGTGTGGCCCTTATACAAAGATGACACGCACAAAATTGAGAAACGGTGCAGTTTTTTCACATTTGCACCAAAAAATCAGCCTTTTAACAAGTCGTAATTCTAATAAAGACAAAAGGGTCCATAGCTCAGTGGTAGAGCATTCGACTGCATATCGAGAGGTCACCGGTTTGAACCCGGTTGGGCCCTTAAATCTTTTCTTTTACGCCTAGTAAATATATTACAAAGCTTTTGCTATTATAACCACCTCGATTACTTATAAGTTATAACTTCTTAATAGTATAAATAACCATTCAACAATTAAATAATACTTTATTTGACAATATTGAGTCTATGTCGTGTTTTAATTTTAATCATATTTATGAAATTGAAACATTGAAAACCTTGAAATTGAAATATTTATGAAGTATTAAATAGTATAAAATATGATCTTCAATTTATTGAATGAAGCTATTTTCAAGCATTATTTAATTTCTTTTTTTAAAAACACTCAAACAAATATTACGCTCATAATTTTTAATTTTAAGATTATCAAGCATGCATTATGGTTTGTGAACAAAGAAAAAACATAGTATAACAGGACAATGAGGTTTTTTTTAGTTTATTGATGAACGATAAAATATCTACTACTAGGAGAAGGTCTGTGCGTTGAACAGATTTGTGATAGATTGACAAATTTAATTTTATAATCTATTTTATTATATTTGTTATAAGTTTTAAATACCATTTAAATTTTGTATCAAAAGGTTGGTGAAATAATAATGTAGGGTTTGACCTTGTTAGGGAAGTGAAGCTGCCATCAAAGATGACCAAAAAGAAGGTTATCGAGAGTAAAATTCACATTGTGAAAGTGGTGGCCGTTTGATGTTCAATGCAGTAGAGAAGGAAGTAGTGAGCCATTAATGTAAAAAGATTTCATAAAAGCAAATAGTGCATGATTTTTTGTTTGATTGGCCACAAAGCAAATATGAAAAAATGAGTATATTTTTCGAACAGAAAAAATGACATTGTCAGCTCTTACTAGTTTTACAAAAATCTAAAATAATGTGATATAGGAGACATAATGAAAGAGAATCAAGTGGAGAAGGGAAAAAAAAAATGAAACCTTGTTTTGTATCCGTTCAATGAAGTGAATACATAAGAGATAGGAAAAAAAGTTGACAGTTGACGTTACTATATCATATCAGATTTGTACTTCATTGGGTAGTTTTATTTTTGTATATGTTTACTGGATGGAAGAGAATTATTGGAGAAGAAAAGAAAAAATGAAGCTTTTGTTTTTGTGTTAGTTCAATAAAAAAAATCTAGTAGAAATAGAAAAAAAAAAAAGAAAAGAGAAAAAGTGACGCATTTCAATATCTAAAATGACACATGACACTCTATCAGAGTTGCTTATGGAAAAACTCCTTACTATATTTATAGTTAAAAACAAAAGTGACATTTATCATTTTCTATGCCACATAACATCATATCAGAGCTGCTTCTGAAAAGTAAACTAACTTTATTCTAAGAAGAAAAGAAAAAAAAAACTTAAGCGTTTTCTTGTGTTTTTTCGATAAAAGAGAATATTTTTCGTTTTAGTTTGTTGGATGAAAGAGAATAATTTGAAGAAAAGGAAAAAGAAACTAAAGCATTGTTTTTGTATTTGTTTGATGAAAGATAACTAAATGTAAATATTTAAAAGAAAAAATGACACATGTCAATTTCTTAAATGCCACATGGCAGCATATCAGATTTGGTTCTTAAAAAACCCTACTTTATTAAAATACTAGAAGAAGGTTTGCGCGTTGCACATATATATGATATATTGACATTTTAATTTTACAATCTATTTTATCATATTTGTTACAATCTATTAAAGGTTGGTGAAATAATAGTGTAGGGTTTTACCCTGTTAGTGTAGTGAAGCTGCCATTAAGGATGACCGAAAAGAAGGTTCTCAAGAGTAGAATCCATATTATGATAGTGGTGGCGGTTTGAGGTTCGATGCAGTAGAGAACAAAGTAGTGAGTCATTAATGTAATAAGATTTTATGAAAGTAAATAGTGCATGATTTGTTTTTTGATTGGTCACAAAAAATGAATAAATGAGTCTATTTTTCAAATAAGTTATAAATACTGTACTATTTAAATTTTGTATTTAAGGTTGGTGAAATAATAATGTGGGGTTTGACCCTGTTAGGGTAGTGAAACTGCCATCAAGGATGACCGAAAAGAAGGTTCTCAAGAGTAGAATCCATATTGTAATAGTGGTGGCGGTTTGAGGTTCGATCCAGTAGAGAAGGAAGTAGTGAGTCATTAATGTAAAAATATTTTACGAAAATAAATTGTGCATGATTTTGTGTTGATTGGCCACAAAGAAAACATGAAGAAATGAGTCTATTTTTCGAATAGAAAATATAACACAGTCAGCTCTTAAAAGTTTTACAAAAATCTAAAATAATGTGATATAGGAGACATAATGAAAGGAAATCAAGTAGAGAAGAAAAAAACAAGTATATGTTCCATAAAAGTGAATACAAAAGAGATAGGAAAAAAAGAAGAAGAAGAAAAATGTGACATTTGACGAATGATTTGTACTTTGTTGGGTAGTTTGATTTTTGTATATGTTTGTTGGATGAAAGAGAATTATTGGAGAAAAAAGCTGAAGCTTTTATTTTTGTATTAGTTCAATAAAAGAAACTCTAGTAGAAATAGAAAAAAGAAAAGAGAAAAAGTGACGCATTTCAATTTCTAAGATGACATGTGACAGTGTATCAGAGTTGTTTATGGTAAAAAACTGTAATATATTTTATAGTTAAAAACAAAAATGACATATGTCGTTTTCTTAGATGTCACATAACAGCATATCAGAGCTGCTTCTGTAAAAAAAAACTTTACTTTTTTTTGAAAAGAAAAAAATAACTTAAGCATTGTTTTTATGTTTGTTCAATAAAAGAGAATATAGTAAAGATGGAAAAAAAAAACTAACACATGACCTTAGTAAATTATATAGGATTTGTTTGAATGATTTGATTTTCATTTCTATTAGTTGGATGAAAGAAAATAATTTGGAGGAAGGGAAAAAGAAACTTAAGCTTTGTTTTTGTGTTTGTTTGATAAAAGATACTAAATATAAATATTTAAAAGAAAAAAATGACATATGTCAATTTCTTAGATGCCACATGGCAGCATATCAAAGCTACTTTTGAAAAAAAAAACCTTACTTTATTAGAATATATATATATATATATACATATATTAAGTATATTAAGTATATTATGGATACAAACAATAATAATAAAATATTTAACATAAAAATGACAGATAAGACATTTGTTGCACTTGAAGCTTAAATGCCACATGAAAACACTAAAGATCAAATGCCAAAATATCCTAAAATATACTTGTAGATTATGCATATTTGTACCATTTTTCTTATTACATTACGAAACAAATAATTTTTCTTATAAAGAAAACACTACATATTATGAAACTCGGAAAAACATATTTAAGTTCTAGACATAACTTTTCCATAAATAAAACAGAAAAACATGACAAAACTTAAATGTATTTATTTTTTAGATGAAAGCAAATAGATAGAAAATTAAACTAATTTTAAGAAGTTATGGTTTATTTTAGCATCTGATGGTAAGTCAAAACATGTTAAAGTTGTTGTTGTCAGTGTTGAGCCACTTTTACAGAATTTTTTCTTTGATCCCATTATCTTCACTTCCTTTTTTGAGTGCATGAATATTTTTTCACAATATTGCAAAACTTTCTATATACAAAATCAAACATTCTCATTAAATTCTTTCTAAAATTTAAGAGAGAGAAAGATAAATAAAGAGAAAATTACATTCATGGATCATCTCCAACAAGCATCATATCTTCTTCATCATCTGCAAAAACTATTTCCCATTGATTGTGTGTGTGCAGCTCATCTTTGAGACCAAAAAGTTTTTCTAATTCATCAATTAACTGGTTATATCCATCAAGAACAGTTAAATCCACAGCTCATATAGCTACACCTTGCATTTGAGCCTGTTTAATAAGAATATCAAGAATGTATGGGCTAATCAAAATTGTCTCCATCTATTTTGAAATTCTATACAAGTTCCTAATTAAAGTTTTATCTAATTTATTATAATACAAATTAAAAATTCTAGTCTATATATAAATCAGTTTCTTCTTTATATTGGATTTTCTAATCATATTGTTCTCCAGCTGTACAAAATAAAAACACTTTTAAAGCTGACTAATATGTAAAGAATGAGAAATTGATAAGTTTTTCTATACCTGGTGATGACTTCTAGTAGAATTGATTTTTCTGGCTTTGGATATCTTTTGATGATGTCAGAGTTTGAATTTGTTCAATCTTTTCTTCTTCGAGATTTTGGAAATTTTAACGTTTTGGTATAAGTCAATTTGTTCTATAAGATCTTTCGTTTCCATTGGAGTAGTTAGATCAACTCCAAACAATTTGTAACCACTTATTGCATCAATGGTTATCTTTTCATTCGCCGACATAACCATTTGGTCGCTACTGTTCGGCTTAGATATGGTAGGAATTGAGTAGTTCATTTACCAACCAGAAGAAATCTTGGACTAATCAGTTGCATTGTGATTACTAAGCTGAGAAAATACTCATTGGAGAGTTCATGCTTGATTGTCCGATTTCTTGTCATTGAGTCAGGGTAGGATTAGGAATCCACATATCTAAACCTATAAATAAAAATATAATGAGAACGGTCTCACAAAGAGTACATAACTTATTAAATAGTGTTCTCTTACCAATTTCATCAACATGACGTGATCGTTTATCCTTAAGATGCGATTGGATAATGTTTGATGAAGATGTCAAAGGCTCAATTTCCCATGGGGAAACCTTATCAGGTCTTGGAATCGATGCAGCCACATCCCATTTCAGCTACAATAACAGAGTTAGTGATTGTTATTATTGTAATAAGATACTCAAGGTGTGAAGAATCTTACTTCTAAGCTTCGCCAGTCAGAATCTCTCCAATGAGAGGAACAATTTGTATTGCTTATAATCTTCCCCGAATATTTTTTGCAATGAAAAAAGAAACAAAAATTTGTCATCGTATTTTTGAAACAAATAACAAAAGATAGGTGTTTAAGTTTTACTTTATTTCAGTAAAAATTAGCACTTTCAAACCACATAGTAAAATTCGAATCTACTTTAAACTTATTGTTCATTGCGTCAATATATTTATCAATATTGATGATGAATTGGCTTGACTTTATATAATTATATCAAGAACGAAAATATAAGCATATTTGTTGAAAAAGTTAATCAGTAGAATAATGAAGTGCTTTTTATACTTTGGCTTACAAAACACATTGAACGTGGATTTGGTATTAATAGCATTTATTGCAGAAACAATGATTCCATGGTGCATACTTTGTTTTGAAATTAACGATGAAGGTATATTGTCTTGTTGATGAACTGTTCTTTGTATTCCAACTCGTGACTCCCCATTCTCTCCTCTTGAATAAGAAAATATTTAAAGTTCAAAATCTAAAACAAAAACAAAAGAAAATAAAACCACAAACTATATATACCTAAGGAACACAAAACAGTCTCCCATGACCAATTTTTTTGCTGTCGTGAATGTTAACCAGTTGTAAAAATATGTCTTTTTGGTGTATCTACTTGATTGTTTATAAATAAGTAAAGATCAATAAGCATTCATCACAGAGTTTGATGTAAAAATATTCATTACCTCTAAAGGTATGTTTAAATCTCCATTTATAACCATGAAGATCTTTAGTAACTATTTCTTGAGTCAGTGTTGGCTAGGCATATCCTAAAAAACTTCAATGCACAAAGTCATATAAAAGTTCAGAAATCGAGTCATATATAAGTTTCAATTAAGAAATACCAGCTGAGGAAGACATTCAATGGCATGTCATTTTAATACTGAAAATCCCCCGTGTGGATTTACATATGGCACACTTAAAACTTTGGTGAAATAGTAGATTTTCTGATTTTCTTGATTGCCATTAAGTATAGAAATTTCACTTTCCTATAAAATTAGCAATTAGGAAAATTATTTATTACATATTAGAAAAAAATAATTGTTATTATTTTATAAATAAAATTTTAAATTTAACACTCACTGATGTATCTGGCAACAAGCTAATTTTTGTATAAACATCCAAAATATCATTCTCCACCTAATACCAAATATAAAATAAGTAATAAGTTTTTTTATTTTTGGTCAAATTATACATATAAAAACAATATAGTATACTATATACGCCAATATATTTTATGTATATTTTTAAGAACATAAACATCAATATCAGATAAACATACCTTAAATTGAATATCAATATCATTGCATCGAAATTTTGAAGAAATGTCAAAAATTGGTGTTATTTCACCCAAGTCAATCTTTTGAATATGTCTCAAGCAAAAAATACCATCAAATTGCACTAATGTTTTTACAAATTAAAAATATGGGAGAAAAAGAACATAAAATGGTAAATCGAAAGAAGCTTACATATTTTATATGCCTTTGAGGAAAGTAATATACGTTTTCTCTAATTTTTGGAAGATCAAACAAAGGTCCACCACACAACTTCCATAACTCTTCATACAAATAGTTTTTGGCTTCATCAACTAAAAAAAAAAACATTACCACTAATAAACATCTCCAAATAATCAAAAACTAAACTTGAGTTCAAAAAGTTATACCTGAAGATTCATGATGTGCATTCATAACTAGTCTAGTTGCCATCTATTCTTATCACTGATTTCGAACTTCCACTTCTAATATATGATCCTAGTCCAAAAAACCATGAAATCTTGAATTATTTTTATTTAGATGATAGTGTAACTGATCAAAACTATAATAGTCAATTTTGTAACTATTTAAATATGCCTAATATTTGCAATTGTTTTTTTATGAATGCTAAATTAGATCGTTGTATGGATTTACCACTAATAAAAAAAATACAATTCAGAAAAAGTGTATTTTAATAAACGAGTGTGCGTATTTTTAATTTTTTGGTTGAATAATCGTTTATATAATATAAAAAAGGTTATATATTATATAAATTATAAGATGAAAAAAAATTATAAGTAATAATAAAATAAAACCCTAAAATTAGATAATTAGCAGAATACGTTTTTAATGAATTAATTTACCAAACAAGTTTGGTTTTTCTTCTTTAGACAATTTTTATTTAGTTTCTTTTGTCATAATTTTGATACATATGTGTATTTATAGATGAAAACTATTGGAATCATACATTAATATATTGTAGATTTATATTTTTGACTAATGATTTTGAAAGGTTAATTAACAAGTCAAACATGAATCTTTTAAAAATATTGAAACTTTTTTTAATGATTTAATTATGTTTCCAAATTATATAGTGTTATAAAAGAAACGAACACTTCAGACAAATTAAAGAAACGAACACTTCCGACAAAACAAATAGTAGTGTTTATCATAAATATGTCAGATATTTTTTTATAAACAAATATAATATTAGGATTTTTGAGTGATTATGGAGAGTCCAGAAAAATTATGTATTCTTTAAACATGTAATCTACTTCTTCCAAAATTTAGAATGAGTTTTGTGTCCTTGTATTCTATCGGTCTTTCTTATCTCTTGCTTTTCAAAACTAACCTTATTTTTGTACAGTTAAACATATTTTCTCCAATTTAGACAACTAATAAGGTGTTTTATGATAATTTAATATTTAATCGACAAGAAAAAAAAATAATTTAAACTTTAATTGAAAAACATTTACAAACTGAACAATAAAGTTTAATTTAGAATTTTCTTTACAAAGAACTTTAAGATTTTTTAATATATAAAAACTTGTTTGCGTGACCCTTATACAAATCTGACACGAACAAAATTGAGAACCGGTACATTTGTTTTTACATTTACACCCAAAAAGACAGCCTTAACAAGCTGTAACTATTAAATTTAGTTAAATTTTTATATAGATAAAAGGGTCTATAGCTCAGTGGTAAACCATTAGACTGTAGATCGTAAGATCATTGGTTCGAATTCTTTTGTGCCCTTATGTCATTTCTTCCTTATAAATATATTACGAAGCTTTTGTTTCAGGGAGTGGCTTTCTCCCATCATCTTTTTCAACCCGTGTTTGGCTGCGTTAATAAGGGTCACGGGATCTCGTTATCGATATTCCTTCCCTACCAATCAAACAGTCTTTAAACCCAACTTGCAAAAACAAATTATTATACCTTTTTTCTGGGTCTTCTGTTGTTATACTTATTCTATATCTAGATTACACAACCAATAAAATACACCATCGATAAAATCGTAGTTTTAGCCAAGAAGGAACACAAACCCACAAGCCGGCGAAATAAGAAAAATTCTCAGAGCCAAAAGCACAAAAAACGAAACAGAGATTAAATTAAAATACTAATGTTAAATATCCCTAAGTTTTTTTTTTAAGAATGTTAAATTATTATATTCAGCTATTATCTCTAAGGTTAGAAAAGTAAATAATAAACGGCAACGTTTCTATGTTAATTGCTAATTGATGCAACTCCAAAATTAATAAACGGAATCAAACACATTATTGGTGCAACCCCACGGGCCATATTAACTATTTGTCGTTATGTAATACGCATATTTTCTTGTATGATGATGATAATGTTATACGTATATATCTTGTATGATGATGATAATGTTTTGTACATACTATATTTTGTATTATATGAATATAATAGTGTATAGAAATATATTATATGTTTATAAGAAAACTCACTTGGTCTATTCCGAGGATATTTAGTTCAGACATACACATGCATTACTATCAAAACGCAACTATATAGTCTATATTGATGGCATCTTTCGCAAAAAAAAAAGTACATTGATGACATCTACCCCAAACAAAAAAAAACTATATTGATGACATTAATATGATTATATAGAAAAAGAAAATAACACGAGTGTAAGAGAAAAACAAAAGACAAAAAAAAATTAAAGGATGAGGATAAGTAATTATACAAACAGCGAGGAGGAGTATCACATGCAAGCGTTAAGAGACAACGAAGAGACTGTTTGTTTGATCAATCCTTGTCTAATAAGAATTACTCTTCTATTTATAAAACCAACCCATCATGAACCAAAACAGCAGTCAAATTAAACTCAAAGCTTCATTTCAAAACTGCTTGTTTCTTAATTATTTCCGTTTTCCATTTTTATAGTTTCTGTGAAGATGGGGAATTGCTCTCAAAGAGCAGTATCCGACGGTGGTGGTTCTTCAGTTGCCGCAATTCAAACAGATTCAAGAAACGTAATGGAAGAATATTACAGAAGCCGGAGTTGCAGCTCGTTGCCAATAACAAGGGAGAAAACGCTAGGGTACCTTGTTAGACAAGGTAATCCAGGCACTAAAGGGGTTGGGGCAAAGATACAAGTGTCGCCGCAAAGAAGAAACGGAGTTTGGAAAGCGAACTTGGTGATCGGAAGTAAACAGCTTGAAGAGATTTTGGCAGTTGAAGGCAATACACACGAATTGATTGATCAGCTTCGGTTTGCTGCAGCAGAAGCTTTACATTCTTCAGCCTCTGCCTTAGAGATGGTTGACGGTAGAAGAAACTTATCGTCCCGATCCCGTAAAAACAATGAGAATTATTTCTGTTAGGTTCGAGGATCGCAGTTTTCTCTTCTCGAGATTTCTCATTGTAAATCCTTGTGACCAGAAAGTGTGTATTTTATTTGTACAGCAAACCGATAATTATATACAAAAAAAAAGATTTGTATCTAATTCAGTTTTGTTGTTGGAATCAGTAAACCGATAAGGATACTCGTACTGAGAGGATAATGGCTTCGTTTGCTAAGTCCTTGAGGAAACACATTACGCACCAATTCGAAAAAGAAAAAGTAAAACGCAGTTACATGAGGCAATAACATTCGCACCACTAAATTAAACACACTTACACATGATGACAGATTAGGATCACATGTAATCAGACACGAGATTCCATTTTCTTGACAGCATTTTCGATGGCTGGAATGTTTTTCTTGAATGTTGACCATTGTTCATCTGTTAAGCTTATTCCTGGACATATATATAAAAATGATCAGAGACTACAAATGAATCATAGCACATCAAAAAAATACAGTCTCGCTTAAACAAGTTCTATTTGGGGTAAATGGTTGTCATTTTTTAATGGTTATTAGAGTACAAGAGAAAAGATGTGGACAAAACCGATTAATACTCAAACCCAAGGACAAAACAGTATCTATATAACTTTCAACTTTCCTACAGAAACAAAAAAACAACAAACTAGTGAAACCTGTTCATCAGCCTAAAATGGAACTTATAAACTTGAATACACCTAAAACAATTGCAACTCTCAAATCCCCATTGGCTTAGAATTAATATTGTGAACACAAAGCGCCTTGATGCAAACTCGAGTGAAATTTGTTAGAAAATGTAAAAGTTTGTCACACATAAACACACAATATAGCTCAATCGAAGATGCATTTTAGAATATAGCTGTAAGAAATTCAGAAAGGAGAGGAGCAATTTCTGTTTTCCAAACAATTAAGAGAGCTTAAAGTGATAATTGTAAGTGTACCTTTAGAAGTAGGAAGCTCTTTGCCATCTTTCTTGTAATACTCTCTGATGGAAACCAAACTCTTTCCTCGAAACTCCTGAATCGTCACTCTTCTCTTATCCGAAAGCTGAAAAAACCACAAATATCATAATAGATCAGATTTGATTTAGCAAGCTCTGCAAGAAAATTATGATCCAACATCGATTAAGTACGAGATTATTTGGCTTTCTAGTGACGCATATGCGAAAAACAAAAACCATCCTGTTTCGAGCAAACTAGGTAGGAATTTCAAGCAGAGGATTCGAATTTTTGAGGAAAATCAGTGAAGAAATTTGAAACCGGACCCGGCAAATGATGAGATCGCCGTCATCGTCGAACTCTTTGTCTCCCTTACGACCACCCTTAGCGCCTTCTTCTTCTTCTTCTACTTCCTCATCCTTCTCCGGTTGCTCACTCTCTTTCAATTTCTGTTCGTCGAGGAATGCATTCACGACTTGGCGTACATACGCCTTGTGAGATTTCTCTGAGAGATCGATTCCGAGCTTCTCCGAAGCGAGATTACGGACCTTGAACTCTGTCATCTCTGCCATATCCGATTCCTTCAGAATCTCTCGCACGGTTTTCTCGATCTTCTCCTTCGTCTCTTTCTCCATTTAGGGTTTTCTTGGGGGACGCTTCTCTCAGAGTTTCGTCGGTATCTGAAAACGGAGAGAACCAAATCGGGTAATCGGAGATTTTTGGAGATTATGTCCGGTACCCGATTAAACGACACCGTTTTAGTGCTCGTACGTGGCAGCCAATGTGAGACTCAGAAGTTTGCTTACGTTAACCAAAATCTTAACCGGAGTAGGCGTCATCAGATAACAAATCTGTTCGGTACGGATTTAAATTGCGTAACCAAAAATCTTAATTGAAAAAAGCAGACTTTTTTTTTGGACAAACTCACAAATCACATTTATTGTTTTCAATTTTATTTCAATTTTATCACAAGCTATACACTATTGAGTAGTGTAAGTATCATGTGCTCACTCAAAAGTATACTTTATTAGTTTGTGTATATTTTTAATCTCTTATAATAGCACATTACAATTGGTTTGTTTGATTAAGCCAACATTTACTAGATTCAATAGAAAGAGGCGTCGCCAACCATTGCAACACTTTTTGATCCAATTCGCTATTCCTCAGCATTGATTAAATCCTTAGAACCATGTAGAAATTAGGAAAAATCATCAGACCAAACCATTCAAGAGCAACTGATGAAAGAAGAAAAAAACATTCAGTTTGTGTCATTAAAATTAAATAATAACACTAATTAATCTAATAAGCCAATTTTCCAATACGCAGTTTCCTTCTTCTTTGCTATTTTTTTTTTGGTACCCTTGAAAAGGGAAACCAAAAAAAGAAAACGAAGATAAGGAAAACGAAACTAGAGAAGTATCATCAATGAACAACTTGTTGATTGACGCCATCGTTGAGCATCACTGAGCTGTGGTGATGAACCATGTGCCACCTGCCATTGTGGAACTCAAACACATTGGTGATGAGGAAAGGACCAGCGTCCACATTCAGGTATGCTTTCATGGTGACCCAAGCCATGTCGGTTAGTATCCGAGTGCGAACGCTGTGAACTTGAAAGTCAAACCCTTGTTCCCAGTTGAAACAAAGTTGCCAGCTTTGCATCACTTCGTTGTACCTGCACAGTTCGATGAGCCAATTCATACCGAAATCGATGATCTCTCTCACTTTAAGGCTAAGAACGTAAATATATCAAACTATACTATTAACATAGTGTTTCACTAGGAACTGCACGATAGCATTCTAATATTAAGTCCAATATACGTTACGCTAGTATACACAGACTCAGAGAGCATCTAAGAGGACACATCTTACACATGATATCCAAGACCGTTACGGAACATGCACATTAGGGTGACAGAATAATATGAAGGTATCCCTCAAAAGAAAAAGGAAGTGGAGAAATGTGTAGTTGGTACCCGGAGAAAAGCTCGCCTGAGGCATGGATGCACTTCACATAGTCTGCGTTCAGCCATAATTGAGCCATTTCTTGAAGAGACCTCTCTCTGATGGAGTTGAAGAACTCGGTATTCACACTAATAATTGCTCTTGTAGTTGCATAGTATGCTTTCCACCCATTGACTGGGGTTATACTAACTTGCTCCAGCGTAAAATCCTAAGTAGAAATGAGCAAAAAAAAGCAAGACAACGATCAGCAACAAAGGCCAAAAGATTGAATACAAAGAACCCATTCATTTCGACACTCATGAATCCAGAAAACGCTTATAAAAAAACTATCTTGAAGAACGTGTCCAAACAAAAAGCATATAAGCAGATACATCATAACGATAAGCTACAAATCAACCCATATGCAAGTGGTTGAATACTCTACACTGCCGAAACCTGGATTTTCAGTACTCTTGCATAACAATCACATGTCACTAAACCTAGAACCAGTGATACTAAGACAATTGCAAAATTTTCCAAACAAACAGTGGGAAATTGCGATTTACAGAAACCATATGAGAAATGAGTGATGATTACCTTGTGATAAAGAGCCTTCCAAGCATTATCGTCATTAGCAGCTTTCCTCATCAAGGAGTTGGTCATGGACAAGCGGCAAAGACTGGGATAATCCAAATAACTGAGCGCGTGAGTTGTAATCTCAGGGACCAACTGCTCCATCATGGACACTCCGGGCTTATCATCAGCAAGCACTGCCACGGTGGAAGCCACAGCATCCGCTCTCTCTCCTCCGACACCAAGAGGCGAGGAATCTGCGTTTCCGTTCACAGTACCGTTCGCCAGCGACGTCGACGGCATAGGTTTATCCAGATTTATATTCCGAGGGAATTATCAGTTGGACGCGAATAGAGCGAAGAGCAGAGGGAAAACGATTGCGATCGATACTGCGACTACGAAGAACAAGAGAGGCTGATTATACGACGAGAAGAAGAGGAAGTTAGAAGGGGTAATTTCCATTGATTATAGACATGACGACTTCGTACAAATTAACACAAAAACCTTTGAGAAGAAGCTTGGAAAGTGATGGACTTCGGGTTTAGTGGAGAATTGAGGAGCGATTGCCTTCTTCCGCCGAAACCCTAGAAATTGAATCGGAAAAAAAATTGGCAAGAGGAGGAAGAGAGATTTGCAAAGCTTTTCGTCTCTCTAACTCCGTAACTGACCATCGCAAAATGTTTATCAATGTGTGTCACTCTAGGAAATAGCCTTAAGTGTTAAGGGTATTATAGTAACTGTATATCTATGTTTATCAAAATGCGCCACTGCAGTAAATAGCCTTAAATGCTGAGGACATTATGATAATTTTAATTTAAGATTTCCAAAAACAAGTGAGTCGGGCTAGCCCAAGAGGCTTTTTGTTCTTGTTTCTTCAAAGCCCAATAAGCCTTTTCCTAACCTTCATCTTTCTTGTAACGCACGCTAATATTTCTCCACAATTATCGTCTTTCTGCCTTTCAGGTATTTAGTGATTTCCATCGACGATTTTGAACTTACTGGTTCAGTTTAATCACAGTGACCTAAACTGGGAATAACCTCTAATGTAATAAAATATATCTTTAAATCTTCATATTTGTTTCAAGACCTTGTAAACAAGAACTGCTTTGTTATGCAAATGGCCTGAGAGAAGATGGAATCTCCAAAACTTGTGGAGAAGACAAAAGACAGGTAAATTAAAATCTATTTACGTTTTCATACTGAGCTACCTCGTCTTTATTTACGCTTCTGATTGTCACTTAGACTTGTCCTTGTGGTGAGCTCCGGAGGAAGAAGAAGCGGCGGTTTCAACGTACTGCTCGGCAAGTTTCTTGATCTTGTCGCCTTCTTTGATCAAGAAATTAGCACTCTTGGCTTTGCTATGATATTTCATCACTTTCTCTGCGGTTTTCGTCACTGCCCATCTGTATTGTTCCACGTTTATCACTCCGCTCTTGCACAGTGGTCTGATATGTTCTTTGATGTACGCTTCAACCTGAAAAAAAAAAAGAAAAAAAACGGTGATTAACAAAGGAAATGGGCAACTTTGACACAAGGTTTTGATTACCTTCTTGGTGACGGAGTTAGTGAACCCATCAGCTTTGCTCTTCTCTTCTTTAGACGGCTTCTCGTTTGGATTACACTTCTGAATCTTTCTGGGAAGTTTTTTCTCTTGAATGGAAGAGTTTTCAAAGTTTGAAGCGATGATTTCTCTGTGGGTGTTGCTCTCGCATTCTGAATCAGGTGCTTTACCTTGGAGACCATTATCAGCAGATCCTTCAATGAGAGGTTTCTCAACTAGTTTCTCTGTACCAGGTCCGTACAGTTCTTCACATTCAGCTAAAGAAAGGATCTCACCTCCCTCTCCTTCTCCCTCTCCTTCACCTTCGGCCTCGGGTACAGGATCCATAGGAACAACCCTCTTCCCGTCTTCTCCCTTTCCTTCACCATTGGCCTCGAGTACAGGCTCCATAGGAACAACGCTCTTCCCGTCTTCTTCCCCGTTTGTGACCATCTCCTTCTGGTTTGCAGTGGTTTCTTCATTCCCCAAGACTTCAGATTGATTTATAACTTTTTCAGGTTGAACAGTGGAGAAAACTACCTTTATCTTAGTCAATCCTTCATCAGGCTGCGTTTCTGAAGCTTTTGTAGCCATGGTAGCACCGATATAGTCTTCGTCGTCCAACTCATACTCAAAATCCCCAAAGATGTCTGTATCAGGAACGGTTTCTATGTCCAGTACATTATCTGGGCCTACGTCCCTAGCTTTGTCCAAGGAACTGTCTCCTTCATGCGGAGGAACTTCCGTTGAATGGGTCGGGCTGTTTGGTGGTGAATCAGCAAGACCTGCTGCTCTGAGCGCTTGAAGGATAGCTGGATCATAAGGATCTTTATCATCAATACCTTCAGTTCCGTTATTAACCAATGGTGATGAAGAATTTGGTTCGACAGCAGTATTGTCCATTGCTTTGCTCTCTGAATGGTGAAGTATTTCTTGTGAGCATAGATTCAGATAAACAACTTTGCTACTCGATTTGTCAGCGATCACTTTCTCGATATTTATAGCATCAGCAACAGCTAGTTCTGTCGCTGCACTTCTTCGAACTTCCAGAAGATTTTCGTTCTTCAAGAAATGTTCTGTAAAGCGATATAATTGCGCCTGCAGCAAGAGTGGTTTGCTTATGAACAAAAACAACCACATGTGGAAATAATGACAAAGCTAATGATTCCACGAGTTGTGATACTAGTATAACTTTTCCAGCAATTGAATAACAGATTATCCCTAATTCTCCAACTTGTCATTTTAACGTATATAACCGAGATATAAGCACACATGAAGATGAAGCTAATAGGCAAGCATGAAATCTTGAACTATTTCCCAGAAAATGATTTTGATCTTGCCAAAGGAAAATATAATCACAATCTTATAAAACATTAGAGTAGATCTCTCGCAACGTAACCGAAACATGTATTAATAACGGCTCAGCTAATTCTACCATTAAACCTAGAAATAAGAAGAATAACTTCTCTCCTTCAATGTCTGGAACCCAAGTAACTTATTATGAACCTAGCACTAATCAATTACATGAGGAACTGGAAATTTAAGTAAAGACATAATCACGTACCTGCCTAACTGCAACAGGAACTTTATTATGGCGACTGGTTGCAAGGGTTGGTCTCATATCAGCTGGGAGTTGAGCCTGAAAGCAATCATAGAGAAAAACAGGCAACAATCTCAAAACACCATATTTGTTAAAAGCGACAAAGGAAAAGGCTGAGGATTACACACCAACAAAGGATAATTCCCTTTGAGCTCGGGACAGCCTCCTTTGTCTTCGCTTGAGTTGTTGCCTGCTAAAGCTTTCTTTCTTGCAAGAACCTGCAATGCCCATTTCCTTTTGTCTTTCTTCAGATCCTCTGAGTCCTCCAAAATAGACTGCTTGTTTCCAGGGTTTGTTTTTGATCCAGCAGCTTTTGAGCTGCTCACCTTGACATCACTGATCTTTGGTAAGGTCTTGTCTGCTTCTTTAGTTTTTGCATTGTTTTGAGAGGTCCCCGTTTCTTTTGATGCCAAAAGAGGCTTCATATCATGATTTCTCGGGAAAACAGAGGTATCTGCCAAATATAATCTGGAGAGAATAGGATTTGAGGCCTGTGGGGCTTCAGATGAAACGTTTGTTTTGCCGTCAGCTGGTTTTTTCTTCAAGAGGCTAAGTACAGACTTCAGAGTCTCAATTTTTTCAGGCTTTCTAGTTTCTATGCACCGATGTTTCCAAAACTCGACTTCACAGTCCCGGTGCCATGCACTTTTCCGCTTCCCATTTGGGTCTGCATAAATTTTCTTTGTGAGATTCTCTCGGACTTTTCCTTTCTGCAGCATCAACTTCTTTGCCTTCACTGCCAGAGCCGGGATTTTTCTAGGTGCTTCGTCAGTTTTAGGTCCTGCTACAGCGGCTCTGAAGGCGGCCAAGAGTTTTGGATCAAATTGGTTTTTTGTGATGTCTTCCATTGACCTGTTACGAACGGCCTCTCTTATTTCTTTCCTTAGTTTCTCAACCAGAACCAATGACTCTTTATCATCCTCCGGAGTCCTCTTAATCTTCTTTACCCTCAAACCAACAGCATTCTCTCCTTCTGAAGACTTAGTATCTGGACGTGTGAGTTTCTTTTTACGCCCAATTCCTTTGACAATGCTGAAAAGATCAACAGTCGTATTGTTTGAAGGGGAACTGCTCTCGTGGTGAATGGTAGCTTTTTCTTCCATTTCCTCATGTTTTGGTTTAATGAGAGGTTCTGCAATCTCAGCCTTAGTTTCCGAATTGTCATCATTACCACTGATGAAGACATGCAACAACAAAATAATACAAGCTCAAACATTTGGCACAAAGCAGAGTAAAGAGCGAATAAATGTACCAAGAAAATAATATTTCATCTGTTAAACTGACCTGAAATCTGTATGCTTCCTCTTTAAGCTGACAACACTAGCAACATCTGAATTGGATATGGATGTACTGGAAAGAGCTGGTAAGCAGCACATTGCAGCGTATAAGGAAAAGTTAAACTATGCAGATGCAGATAATGATCTAATAACATATTAGCCATAAAACATGAAAGAAAGCAAAAGATAAACAGGAGAACAAAGAACAGCATGTTTCTTACATTCTTTAACATTTACCGGTAGACAATCCTTTTCTACAAGTCCTGTAACAACAAGGTTAAATCATCACCCAGTAGCAACAAGGGACAAAGCATATTGAGAAGCTATACGTGTCATGAAACTACAGCTACGCCTCGGTGGATATTATATTACTAATCAATATACCTGTTCTATTCTCCATGTGCGCAGCAAACAATGTCTGATTTGAATCGGATGGTAATTCAGATGATATATCATGAGGTAAGGATTGTGTGAGCTCCAATTTTCCTGGGACCTGCTCTGTGTTTTCCTTCCTACAACATATTTCCGGATGCGAGCTATCAGGGTCTCCCTCCATCGTAACTTGAACTGACGATGCAGTGGTATCACTTGGTTTCATAAGCCACTCGTCTCCTTTGACAGTTGATACGACAAGAGCTGTCTCGCCATCATCGGCAACTGTAACTGAAAAATTTCCCGAGTAAACAGCCTCGACTGAGCATCCACTATTTGTTCTCTCAGAATTCTCCAGGGGCTTTCTTGTATCCGTTGGTGAAACATCAGGTTCAACTGGTTTTTCACTAGAGAGACATCTGTCGACACAAAGCAAAGGAAGAGACACTATGACAAGATTGCTGAAAAACATGGAGAAAGGAGGGATACTATGCCTTAATATTAGTATTCACTCAGATTTGGTACCGTGACTCTATTCTAGTTAAACATAAGACTGGCACACGGAAAAGTTTAAGCAATTTGGTGGAAGCTAATACTAACAGAGATCATAAAATGAAAGCGGCGCTGGATTAAGCAATCATTTATCGTCAATATGCAAATGGAACCTACCTTGGACATTCCCATGTATCCTCTGATGCAATTTCCAGATCAAACCCCACACAAACAGCATGATACCTGTTAGCACATAGAGTAAAGTAACAAACTTTTATGTTCAAACATATAAGAACATCTAAGAATACTCCAAAGATGAACAATCTAGAACAATACAAATGCACGTGTAAGATTAAAAAGACCAGTATCTTTGTCGTTCATATGTCATATTATAAACTTCTTCCTTGCAATAGCGATCGCATTTAAAAACAGATAGAGTAACTAAGCATAAAACCATAGAAGACACAAAAATGATGGCACTGTAACAACTAAGATAGCATCAAAAGTTCACCAGTCGATGAACTTCAATGATCCAGCAAAGGAAGTAAAACAACCAACACGAGACTTTACACATGAAAAAACAACAGGTAATAGTTACCATGTGTCACAAGAATCACAAGCAATTGATGTATCGAGGTTGGAATCCCCTCCAATGTAATTGAAGCTGTTACGGATCTTGCAAAGATCTCCATCTAAACAGATAACTGCCTACAAAATGATTAGGAAAGCTTAACGTACTTTGCAGTGACTTGGAAAACTACTGCATATATAAAATTCTTACATTTTCGTCAATATAGTGCGACGGAGAAGAGACGCCGTCAGTCTCCTCCTCAGTGCACCAATCTTCCTCTCTGCACGTATTTGATAGTTAAGCTTAAGGTCAGGAGATCACCAGCACATACAGTAATCTATGGTATAACATTTGTTTTCAAACTTTTCAATCACTTGCTCATGCTATTTCATTATTCATGATAGGCGGCCACTCATAAATAAAGACAGACACCACTTAGATTGTTCAGGCAAGTAAATTTCATCACAGCAAAAAAAATAACCATGAATATAGTACCCTGATAACGAAGCCTCATCAAGCTTGCTGCTTTCACCTGAATCATTCACCTTCACAATAGAAACCAAAAACTCATTACCTAATCCAGGAGCTCCACTTACAAAAATCATGAGATCTGTTCAGATAAAAACAGATAAGATTTCTTACAGGGACGCATGTAATCAACTGAAACTCCCTCTGACAAAGAGGGCACAGGTTCATAATAGTAGACCAATTATCAATGCACTCAAAGCAGAACCTGAAAATTTATCAGACATAGACACGAATTATCAGTCTGCTCCTTGACAAACAGCTCATCAATCACAAAGCAGGATCAATATATTGCAATGATTGATCTCAAAAGAAATGTAACTGTAAGGACTATGCAGCTTTTGTAAGATTACCAGTGCTGACAGCAATCAAGAACGCCTCTATCAACAATTATATCCATGCAAATCCCACATCTTTCCCCTTCAATTCCAGCTACATCCTGTTTAAAAAAAATTAAAGTCAAAATGAGAGCAAGTGACACAAACACAGCTAGTTCAAAACTTAAAATCTCATCCTCGAGAGTACAAAGAAAACACAAAGATCCCTAGAAAACGTGACACGAATTAGAAGGATCCATGCTTGATACAGCGATTTCTGGTAGTGATTATAACTCTGAAGCTAGATATACTACTTTTTGCAGGAGAATCATTTCCAGCGGAATTAATAAATTTGAGCTCCAGGGTTCAAAATTAAATTGTGGACCCATGATTATAGTTCAACAAAGAAGCGACGAAAGTAGGCCAGAAAGTCCAAGTTTTTACACTAACATTATGTCCAACTTCAGCAGCTTCGTCTTCAAGCAAGTTACTTGCTTCAAAATCGAGCTCCATTTTCTGGGAAAAAAAAAGGCATGACCACAAAAGGACAAACTGATCAAAGATGAAATCGATTTCCTCCGACGAGGACAAACCGTGAAGACAAATTCAGGTGAAATTTCATCTGTAAACACAAAAAAACCCCACCTACCTCGGATCAAAAACTACGAAACTGAGAAGAAAATCTCAGAACCCAGGATGGAAAAAAAAAATCTTCGTGGAAATTGAAAAAGGCGAAGCAGCGGAAAATAGGAAGTTTCTCTCGCCGAGGGGCAAAACGGGAAAAATGTGTGAAAATTCACGGAGGGTGAAGATGACGTCACCTCCTAGCCCCAAGAGACTTTGAGGGTTAAGGAGGAAAGAAGTGAAATTATGTCTTCATTTCGCTGAAGAAAAAAATTTCCCGTTTATAAAACGAAAGATGGACCACACAGGGTCCAACGTGCTTTTTATTCACCTCTCTGGGTCGAATAATATATAACTTTCTGTTTCATGTGGGCCACTTTCGTTAATATTACCAATAAATTCAGCCCAAACGTTGTAAAAAACTTGTCAAAACTTAATTTCAATTCCAGATCTTTTTATCTATTTCTTCTCAACCCTGTACTTTCCTTTTACGTCAAAAAGATCCCACAATGTTTTCGGTTTTGGCAATCAACCCCATAGCTATTCTTTTCCACCTAAATGAAACTATTATATGATATACTATGTGCCAAAATTCAAAATGTAAAGATCATTTACAATATGTTTTTTATGTGCATTATTTTCCTCTCAGCTGGTTTTCGTATGGAGCATTGTCTCAAGGCTAGTTGGGTAACACATGTCCACGTGGCGACCATTCCATACATTGTCGGCGAGGATGGCGTTAACGGCTTCTGTAGGATGAAACTGGTCCCACCATAGATGACCAGAGGCGTCAGAGCAAGCCATCTCCGGCGAGATGCACGGAAGCCATCCTTTGTATCTCCCTAGCCCACAACACGCCTCCGTCGTCTCATTAAAACCTGACCAAAAAACACACGGAAACTAAGATTTTAACCAGACTCTGAGAAGTCTCTCTATGGACACTCTTAGTGAACTCAGACTATATCTTAGGAGTTCCCAAGAGGATACATGAGAATGTTATGTTGTCACCAAACACAGTCTTTTTGTCGCTTACCATAGAGTTGGTGGTTCTTGAGGATGTCCATAGCGCTTTGGAACACGTCGCAGTAGATAACTGATGCACCTGGAAGCTCATGGTTAAGCTGTTCTACAGTGTATCTCATGACGAAGTTGGACTCCATGATCATGCTGTTCACTTCTTCTGCACATTCTCCGTTCTGGCTCCTGTATTTCCACAGGTAGTACGGTGCACAACCTATCGGTGGCAACCCCATCACCACCATCCTCCTTACCTTCACATTGTACAAGGTCTGAGAAACAAAACAGAACAATTCTCTTATTGGTAAGATCAAAGTATAGTACATAACCAAATGAATAGGAAAGTATATATGACTCAGTGATCGATACCATTCAGGGTTCTACAAATGTGTAAACCAGAGATCCAAAATAGAAGAAGGGTTGTGATTTGATCTTTATATAGGCAACCTTTTGTGTATTAATCAATTTAAAAGCTTTCATTTTTATGGCGTTTGGATATTAAACAGATGTTATCTTAGCTCAGAATCATACTTGTTTGCCCCTACATAATCTCCACCAGGAGTAAACATATAGAGATTGATAAGAAGACTAACCTTGAGCTCCTGTCTCATATTGGAAGCCAAGAACTGATTAAAAAGCCATGGAGTATAGAGATTCTGCACATTGGAGATGTTCCTGATGTAGAAATGTATGTAATCATTCACTCCAATCGATATGTAGAAAACCGAGTTTGAGACCAGACGATCCGTAGCTTCCTCCCCAATGCTCAGTATCATCTGCTGGAACGTATCGACAAACTGCTCAACCTGCATCGCGAACGAAACCCTTTGTCCCTGCAACGAAAAAATTCACACCAAGGATTCAAAAACCGAAAGACGGTATTCAGAAATACGCAAAATTGAGATTTTGAGTATTACAAGTTCGGATCCACTGGACAAGATGATTCCAGCACCAGCCGATGCGTAGTTCACGCCTTGAAACATGTCTTCAACAGTCCCAGATTGTCCAAGATAGCTCGGAACGAAAGGGAGACCTAGACGATTAGCTGTTTACAGGATTTGCAATTGACTATTCAGTCTCAAATTCTATCTTTAACAGTAACGAAACATCAATGAATATGAAAAACCCCAAAATAGTCGGATTCTCTCAGTTCTCTCTGCAATTTCTAGGCATTATGTAGGGTAAAGAAGAATTGAATCAAAAAATTTGTGGAATTTCATTTCCAAGAATCAACTTTTAGCAGTTTATTCTCGATACTAACATGAAACTCGAAAACCCAGAAAATTGGGGGAAGAAATTTAACCTAGATAATCAACGGGGATCCTCCCATTGCAAAACCTCCCCGTTGGCTGATGCGTGTCGAAATCTCTACCGTACGGAAGCCGATCTGCTCTCGCCAAGGTCCCAAGAAAGTTGTTGGTTCCACAATCTACAGATGAATCTCCGAACACGAACAAAGCCGGTACACGACTAAAAGACGACTCCGCCGCCGGAGATTGGGCCTTGAGCGACGGCGATGGAGGTATAAACGGCGGAATCAGATAAGAATGAGAAGAAAACGGAGAGATCCTTGTGGATAAGTGATGATGATCGGCGATCAATTTGGGTCTCGTGAAGATTATCAGAGCAGAGAAAACAAGAACGAGAATTTTGATCGACATTCTCTCTGATGAGTGACGAGAGAGAGAGCGGGAAAATGTAAGCTTTGCAGAGATAAAAACGGCGTCGTCTTACAAGATCGAACGCGAGAGACTTTATTTATACGACTGCGACACATTGAACCGGGTAAACCGGAAAGTAGAAGCTTACTTCCTTTTGGTTTAGCATACATATACCGGTTACCCGATTTTATACTAACGTACCAATCATTTGTATTGGTAGACTTTGGTCTCAAACCTCTTGTCTTCTCTCCACCATTGGTGAATCCCATGAGCTTCTTTAAAATCTCTCGACGGACTCAAATTCACCGTTAAAACCGTTGACGGAATCAGATGTATCGGCCCTTCAGTGTTCTTTCCTCCGCTCACGACGTCCATCAGTAAACCGCCTAACGAGTTCTGAGTCGCTAACCGCTCTACGAACCCGACCCCGATCTCCTCCATCTTGTTACGGTGCTCGAAGTAACCGACATACTCGGAGCACAAGTGGTCCTCGGGGTTGACGTACAGCCGCGGAAACCAGTCGGTTAAGGCGGAAAACGGGTCGGCCGGTGCGGGTAATGCACGGTGGTTTTGGCTGACTTGTTGGGTGGCTTTTTTGGCTAGAGCAAGTCCAGCTGTGATCACACTGCCTGCATTTTAGATAAGCAGCTTTCATCATAATCAAAAATAGTCAAGTTTTTACACGGTTAAAAATGTTTGGGTAGACATTCCGGTTATTCGGTTTGGTACGGTTGTTTTTAGGATTTCCGGTTTATATAGTTATCTTAAAACTCTCTCTTGATGGTCTAACTTATCTTAAAACTCTCTCTTTATGTGATATACTCATCATGTTCTGTCTAAGTTATCTTAAAACTCTGCTTTTCTAGAATTAGTTAATATATAACTCTATATATCATGATTGAGCTAAAAAAAAAAAGACAGCAGCTCTGATCAAAGTCAAAAACAATCAAGTTTCTACACGACTAAAAGCTTGAGTTTATATGTAAGATATGTAAGCGGTAGACATTCCGGTTATTCAATTTGGTATGGTTTATTTTCTGATTTTTGGTTTATCTAATTTTGAACATTCATAATCGAACTGAAGCCATTTTCTTTTGTTCTTTTCGGTTTAGCAAAGTTGTGGATGTAAAGTTTCGGTTAATTCGAGTTGGTCCAGTTTGGTTACACTACATTTGATTTCGGTATGGTTTAAGAATTTCGGTTAGGTACTTAGGTTGGGTCTAAATGACTATCTGATCAGTATCTTAAAGAAGAACACTTAGGATTGAGTTTAGGAAGATCAAAAGTTACTTACCTGCGATACGTATCCCATGTTTGATCCTCTTATCTTTGATTCTTTCAATAGGAGCAGACAAAAACGGCGGATTAAAGGCGAAACACTCCGGTAAAACTCCGGTTCTCGCGATGGTTTTCCCGGTAAGCAATGCCATGGAAGCACCAAGAGAATGACCAGCAAGCCACACACTCGAACCACCAACCGAAGCCACCATGTTTCTCACGGCCTGCATAGCTATCTCGAACCTTGTCGTAGTGTGAAGACCGTTTCTGATAACGTGGATGTCTAGCTCGATGTCACGGGAGATAGAGTCCGCTTTGTTAACCGTTCCTCTGAACGCGACAACAAAACGCGGACTCAGCTCCCTGGATATGACGGTTTGAGAAGGCGGTTTGTACTCGTAGATTCCACCGAATATGGAGGAATCAGCATCGTCAACGAGCTTACGAATGAGACGGAAATGGAAAAACTCAGACCATAGTGGAGATAAAGCTAGTTCGGGACCTTCTCTTTGTAGCTGACGGTCACGTTCCGCTACATAGATTCCTTGGACCAATGAAGCAGCTACGGATCGACGATGATGTTCATTAGCCCTGAAGAATCAAGAAGGACAAAGAAGAAGAGCAATTAACGAACAAGACTCGGATTCTTAAACACAAATGAAACACAAGTGCACACACAGTAACATAGGCATAGCTCTAAAACCAATGGTACCAAAACTTTAGCTAACTCTAACAACAATTCATAAACACACAAAGATTTAGTTTTTAACAAGACAAAACCTCAGAAGATTCAGAGACAGATACAAACAAATGGTGCCAAAGCATTAGCTAACTCCACAACAATTCATAAACACAAAGATTCAGTTTTTAACAAGACAAAACCTCAAAAAGATTGAGAGAACGATACACACTAATCTATAGATGGTAAGTGTAATGGTGCTAAAACATTAACAACAATTCATAAACACAAAGATTCAGTTTTTAGCAGAACAAAACCTCAAAAGATTGAGATAAAGATACAAACCAGTCTATAGCTGTTAAGTGTAATGGCCCAGTGAGGCTGAAATCATCTCTCTCACAGATCATTACTCTTTCCTAAGCAATGTAAATAGCAAGTGTTAGTAACATTAATTCAAAATTAAAGAGAAAAAAAAACACATGTAAAATCTCAGTTCCTAGAATCCCCCAAAGGTAATTAAATCGCACCCTAATCATATAAAGTTAAAACATTGCAAACTCTACAGATATTGCTAAACACCATTGAAATTCGAAATTTTGATTTTGTAATGTCTAGATATAACAGCAAGACCTTAAACACAGGTTCGATTTAAGGAAATGCTATTGTCGAATTAAAATAATCAAATCGATCACAGAGACGAAACATGAAGTTTGTGCGTAAACTATCGAGAAAAAAAAGAAGAAAAATCAAGCTTGACGAACCTTGAGAGATGGAATCAGATCTGGAGTTTGGTTACTGTCAGTGTTATGTTTAATAAGAAAAGAGTAGTAGAGTAATGGAGGAAGAGAGTGTTGTCTGTTGTGGGCTCAAATTCTTAAAAGCTTTCAGAAAGGAACGTTTCAAGTGTGATATCGACTTCAAAACGTCATCGTATCAGTCTCAACGTTCTATTTGCCGTATAAATCTAAACATTTGCTTTGTATGTTTGGTAACAAATTTGATATTGTTTACTTATATCTTCTTCAGCTCTTCCGGATTAAGTTTTGAATTCATTTTTTGTCTAACGTTTTTGCATCAACTCAGGAAAAAAAAAATATTACACCGTCTGAATGTATAAATTGATCGACTGAAATCGTAAGAATTATGATAATAGTAATACTAATACACAACTTCCCCCAATATTTTCCTATAATCTGACTCTTTATGTTCTTTTTTCTGTCAATTGTAACTTATAAAATAGGTAAACAAATAAGTTCTACAATTCATTAATTGTGTCAATAAAGAATCTTCAGACTTCAGATGAATCATATCCATAAGGGTTATTGCTAGCCCAGTTCCACAAGTCCCTGCACATCTCCTCAATCCCGTTTTTGGCCCTGCATTGTCACAACTTACAAGTTTAAGTATTTGTAAAACCGATTATCCAAAATCCAAATCAATTTTCTTAAACTTATATTCCTTTTGCGAAAGTTAGAGACTTTTTTGAAAGTTTTATATGTATGACTAAAGAAATGAACTTACTTCCAATTCAATTCAGTTTCTGCTCTTTCCGTTGAGGCGTAAACAACTTCAGCGTCTCCAGGACGACGTCCAGCAATCACCAGAGGGATTTTCTGATAAAGTAATTTTAAATCTTAAGCATAATCAGGACAAGTAAACCTGATCAAGAATCCAAAAACACGAAAAAGCTCTCAGATTCGAAAGAGAAGCATCATAGTTTTTACCTTGCCGGATGCTTTTTCAAAGGCATCAACCATTTTAAGAACAGATGTTCCGTTTCCAGTTCCGAGATTGTACACTTCACAACCTGAATATAACACAAAGAGAGAGAGAGTTACAGAGCTGAGTATGATTCACAGAGGAGAAGAGAACACATAAAGAGTTAATTAATATCATACCGATCTTGCAATCTTCTAGCTTACGCAGAGCGGCTATGTGTCCATCAGCTAAATCAATAACATGAATGTAATCTCTAACCTGAACAAACAAACAAAATTGAGATCAAAATGTAGAAAGAGTACTCTTCTTGTTTATCAAACCATAAACACAGACATACCCCTGTTCCATCTTTTGTGTTGTAATCATTTCCAAAGACAGTGAGATGAGGTCTTCTTCCAACAGCGACTTGCTGAACAAAAGGCATGAGATTGTTTGGAATACCACGAGGATCTTCACCAATGTCACCACTAGGATGTGCACCAACGGGATTGAAATACCTAAGCAATATGATCTTCCATTCCGAATCAGAACGGTACACATCACGGCAGATTTCCTCAATGAATAGCTACAAGAACCAAACAAAAAAAGAGATTCTTAGTTTCAGATTCAATTGTTTAACCAGAAAAATCCAAGTGGGTTTTTCGAAAGACCCAACCTTTGTTCGTCCATATGGGTTCAATGCAGAAATTGGAGACTCCTCTGTACAAGGAACTTCCTTTGGTGCACCATACACAGTGGCTGATGATGAAAACACAAGCTGGAAACAGAGAATAGTAATCATGAGATCAACACAAAGACAATAAACATTATAATATAAGATGATTTCTGATAAAATATATATACATTTTTGCAGCCGTGTTGAGCCATTACTTCCAAAAGCGTAATAGTCCCAACAACATTGTTATCATAATACAGCAGAGGCTTCTCTACACTCTCACCGACTGCTTTAAATCCAGCAAAGTGTATCACTGCATCAAACCTGTGATATAATAATAATTCCACGTTCATCCATAATCTGAAATCCAATTATTTGCATAACCAAATCAAATATTCACATCATAGTAAAGAGAGAGTAATTTTAACTCAATCATACATTGTCTCTGAGAAAATCTTTTCAAGGGCAGGCCTGTCCCTAAGATCCACCTGCAATTAAATGCATAAACAATAAAGTTTTTTAAGAAATCATGATCCAAGAGATTCTTCTGATAGTAATTAAACAAAACAATCTAAATTCAACAAATGGCAAGCTCTTGTTTTGTTATCTAGGCATATAAAAGCAAGATTATCATTATGATTAGCATTCGAGAAGGACATTCCAATTTCAGACAGATCACTATTTTTGAGACAGGAACAAAGATAGAAAATTGGGATAATATTATTATACTCTTTCACATGGTACTGATATATAGAGAAATACCAATAAAAATGGTAATAATTACTGATATATAATAATAATAATAATAATAATAATAATAATAATAATAATAATAATAATAATAATAATAATAATAATAATAATAAAAAAAGAATTGGCCAGAACTCTGGAGTCAAAGAATCTTCGAAATTTTGATATTTTATTCCGAGAATTTAGCCACCAAAAAAACCAGAAATCAAAACAAGTCAAAGTTTAATCCCAATTTGGTTGATGAAATCACAAATTATTCGAAATACGAAATCCGAAACGCGAAATTCTTCAATCACACGTTTCATTGACCTAGAAAGCAAAAAAAAATCACCGAACCTTGTGGAAGCAGAGGCGTTCTCCGTGTTCGGCGGCGAGTTTCTTCACACGCTGGAGAGAGACGGCGGAGGAATTGTCGAGGTTATCGACAACTACGGCGGAGTAACCGCCGATGAGCAGTTGAAGCACCGTGTGACTACCGATGTATCCAGCACCGCCGGTTACCAAAACGTTCTTAGCCATCATCGTTTTACGAGTTTAACAAAAGATTAAGAAAAAGGATTAAAGAGATATGTGTATAGAGATTGTTTGTTTGTTTGTTTGTTTGTGATCCAGCGAAAAAGGGTTTGGGGTTTTTTTAATTTATAGAGAAACGGTGATGGTTACGTGATTTTCATTAAAACATGGAAATTTTGAATATAAAGTTATAAACTTACTCTTTTTTATTTTATTAAGTTGACCGGTAACAAAAACAAGAAAAAGAAACTTAAAACGAAGATTTTACGTTTCCAATTAAGGGAAAAGAGAGGTTGAACAACAACAAAAAAGGGAAAAGAGAAAGTAGCACGTGGAAGAATGTGGTGTGGATGTGGGAGGAATATACGAGTGTTTCAGTTATCGGAACTGTCCTTAAAACGTCTTCTTAATTAAGCTCAAGAAAATGCAAGCTTTGTTTACTAATCAGCCGGACAATATTTTTAATGGAATCGAAGAGCGAAATGAAGCAAAACCGTGGAACTGTTTCTTAACAAAATTGATAATTATATACCAACCTTTATAAATTAATAGTCAATCAGTTAATAATTATTATAAATTAATAAATTTTGCCAATTTTAAATTGAATCAGAATTTATAATATACCAATTATATTTATGTTTGTTTTTGCAAATTATAAAATCCACCAACATTTTCTGTAGGGATGTGCATTTTGGTTTCGGTTTGATTTCTTTGGTTTTATAGTTTAATCTATTAAAATTTACACTATATAAAAACTATAGTTTATTATGATTTAATAATTAATCAATTAACAATTATTATAAATTAATAAATTTTGCCAATTCTAAAATGGACCAGTATTTATGATATACCAATTATATTTATGTTTGGTTGCAAATTACAAAATCCACCAACATTTTTTGTAGGGATGTGCACTTCGGTTTTTAGTTTGGTTTTTTGATTTTATAGTTTATCGGTTTTATTAAAATTCAAACCATATAAAACCTATATATTTTAGTTTGTTATGGTTTAGTTTTCTTCGGTTTCGATTTGGTATGGTTTGGTTTTATCTTTTTTGAAATTATACAAAAAATTAGTTCAAACTAATAGAAAAACAAAAATAAAAACAGAAACCATATAAATCTATATAATGAAAGCTAAATTTATAAAAATCAAAAACTAAATAAAAGTCAAGAAAGATAAATAGATAACAAAGCATATATAAAAGTAAATAAGTACAATTTGATATAAAAATTTAAAAAAATCAATTAATTTGATTAGATATATAATATATGTTTGATCTTGTGTAAAAATGTGACATCCAATTCCGATCATACAATCGAACTACCAATATCAAGAGAACCGTATGCGCTTAAAGCCAAACATATTATATTTTTTACAAGTTACAGCAAAGGTATCTTGTTTCAGCAAAAACAACTCCACACCACAAGCGATACTCAAACATTCTGACTCACTAGCCTGCTGGAAGGATCGAGAGATGGGGGAGGGAGTGAATGAGTTATTTAGATTACTCAAGAGAACAAATCTAGACTAACCCATTCATACAATTCAATTCAATAAACGCTAAGTTCAGACCTAAAACAGCATCAGAGAATGTCCTAAAAACATTAAATAATGAGAATTTTACACAGAAACACACTTTAGCAAAGTGTATTTACATAGAAACACACTTTTGGGAAGTAAGGCACTTTGCCTTAGAAACAAGACATGGATTTCCAATTCTACCCTTACTGACGATTGGAGTAAATTATTAGTTTTTAGAGAATTTTACGTTTTGCTGATAAAGTCCCAATCGACGCGCCGCCACGGGTAGTCGATTGCAGAAATCTGAAGAGGGAGAAGTGCTTTCAGACATTTTAGGAGGAGACTGATACTACGATATTTAAATTTGCGAGTGAAAAAGGTTTTGACGGTGATGGTTATGATTGGGATAGGCAAGCGTGGTGGGGGAGGGGGGAATCGTGATCGGTTGTTTGATCTTGGGTATGATTTATTGTTGGCGATCAAGACGGTGGATCTCCTTTGTGTCGTTGTTTTGGTCGTCGACAACCATTGTCTCATGCACCATATGAAGTGTTGCGGTATAGTTAGCGAAGAGTGTGATGCATATTTGGATACAAATAGAATGGATGGAAAGTAAGTGGATGGAAGGGGTATATTCGAACTACGAATCGCACGCATGGATGAACAATATGGATGGAATCGCGTGGATGAACAAAATGGATGGAATAGCGTGGATGAACAATATGGATGGCAACGCGTGGATGAACAATATAGCAGGCAACGCGTGGATGAACAGTATGGATGGAACCGCGTCGATGCCCAATATGGGTGGAGCGTGGATGACCACAATGGATGGAAAAGCGTAGATGTGTAATATGGAAACGCGTGGATGACCACAATGGATGGAAACGCGTGGATGTGTAATATGGAAACGCGTGGATGTGCAAAATGGATGGCAACGCATAGATGAACTAACTATTAAGGAAAAGACTTAGGGTTCCCACCACAGGTGCAGCATGATGAGGCACGTTTTGGTTGTCTTTAGTAGGAGGTACGAGTGGAGAAGGCGGCTCGTGAGTTTGTGGGGTGAGGTAGTAATAAAATGTTTGTGGGTGGAACCCGTACCTTAGTCTGGTCGTCAGTTATGTGATCGTCAACGGCGACGATAAGTGCGGCGACAAAGGCTTGAATTAGGTCAATGAATATTCACGGCGGCAAATGTTCTAAACTGATTTCTTACGGGACTGTAAAACTGTAATACAAATATTTTCTAAGGGGTGTGAAACAACAAAAGAGGGGTACAAATGACTTTTCATCGTTACAGAGTGTGTTTGTGTAGGCAAGTGTCTTATTTTGTGAACACTTTCTCTAAAGTGTGTTTTTCTGTAAATCAGTCTTAAAAAATATCCTATGACTATGAGAATCATATACCCTCACATTTTTGGGATTTCTTCTATTCATATACAGCAAAACCTCTATGAATTAATACTCGATAAATTAATAATCACTATAAATTAATAATTTATGCCGGTTCCAAGTCGGGCCAGTGTAAAAATTGACAAAATTCGATAAGATAATAAGATAATATTTTTTAAAAAGTTCTATGTAAAATATGGTCCTAATAATAATATAAATTAATAATTATACATTTCAGCATATATTAATAATATAATATAGTAAAATATAATAATATTGTTGCTTTAAGCTTATAAAATTTGTTTGATTTATCTTCTAAATTCATTATTATGATATTTTTTGAAAGAATTTTATATTGTTAGAAATATTGATTTTTTATATAAATATTAAAATTCAAACTAAAAATATCTCTAAATATTAATTTAACGATAAATTAATAATTAATAATTTATCGATTAATTAATAACTCTATAAATTAATAAAATTTGATAGTCCCAACATTATTAATTTATAGAGGTTTTACTGTATGATTAGTGAGACATATTACTTTCCAAGATAATGTTTAATGTGATAATGTATATGTCAATTAAAAGAAAAATAATTGAATTTTCTTATGTCAATTAAAAAATTATAAAAAGACTAAATTTAGTTCATATAAAAATATAAGAATCAATTTATCACATTTTGAAAAATAATATATATATATTAGATTAGGACCCGCATATATGCGGATTTATAATAACAAAATTTTAAATTTATTAAAATAATTTGAAAAACATAGAAAATAAATAAAAAAGAATATTATATAGGAAGATATTTTGCCAAACCTTATTAACAAAATAAGGCACTTCACAATATTGAGGCACTTTCATCAAATAAAATGATAATTTTATCCTTTTTAAATTTTCTTTTTTATTTAATTACAAATCAGCTCTACCTTCTCTAAAATAAATCGGACTACCTTAACCACCCAATATTCGTCTCCTTAGCATCGCCACCATCTGATTCTGCTATTATCCCTTATGTGACCCAAAACTTCTAAGCAATTCTGATTCATCTTTATCAATTGCAAAATCGCAAATCGCCCAATCTCGCTCACTTATGCTTAAAGATAATAGAACCACCATCAACTTCATACCCAGAAAACCAAATGGAAGAAGAAGAAGAAACCAACTCATGTCCATGGTATCACATCCACTGCCTCATGTCCACAGTATCGCATCCATAGTAATGCATCCACAGTCATGGTCACAGTATCACATCCACGATCCCATGCTTCATGTCCACGGTATTGCTTCCACAGTATCGCATCCACTGCCTCATGTCTACAGTATCATATCCACAGTATCACATCCACGACCTCATGTCCACAATGTCACATCCATGGCCTCATGTCCACAATGTCACATCCACGGCCTCATGTCCACAATATTGCATTCACGGCCACAATATCACAAAAAACCTAAAAAGACAAAGACAAAGGGTAAAAATGGATTTTAAAATTTTGTAGAGTGGTCAAAGTACCGTAATAGCAGAGAGTGTCTTATTATGTAAGATGAATATGGCAAAGTGCCTTATTATGTAAACGTCTCTAAATAAAATCAGATCATTGATAGAAAAAATTTAGTAAAAACATAAAATGAAAATTTAAGAGTTATTTATTTTAATTTTTGTTTGTATTCAATTAAAATATTCAAAACACAGAACCTGTTGCGGGTCCTTAGCAATATTAACTTTACTTCACTTGTAGTTCAATATTTTATCAACTGTTTTTTTTTTCTGTTTTGTTGCATTAAAAACTTGTGTATGCAGTTCGAGTTCTTCGATTATGTTAACTCTTTCCCCATTAACTCTTTCCAATCAAACAAAGTCTCTCTTTCTCCCCACATGCATCTCTCGTATATGATTTATTTGCTTTCTAGAGAAGTTATGTTTCTCAAGACTCGTGTCAAAAGTTTTTTTACATAATTTTGTTGATCTTCCTTCTTATTTAACTCATCATTAGCATCTAGGATTTTATTTTTATGTAATCCTGCTTTGGAAATTTTGCATGTAATTATTATGGAATTGTCTAATTATTGAATACTTGAAACACTTTAGACGTATACAATTCAGCAAACGAATCTTGAAAGATGAAATTTGGAATACCGAACAAATCATAATTGATTAAAAATTGGAATACCGTATAAAGTGTTTTAATTATAATAATACAATAAAAAATAAAAATAATACCTACAGAATGGAGCTCAGAAATTATTATTTTGTTTGGTAAAAAATTATGAGAGATTTTATGTGTTTATATAGATGTGGATTGTATCTTTGTTTTTCTTTTATGATTAGTGTTTTAGCTTTTTTTTTGTTTTCTAATTTGAAATATCTCTTTTATTAACTTTT